CGGAGCCCCAAGGGAATTTACCATGTTTCTCTTTTGATGGCTCATCTACAGACCAAGCCCTTTCTTTAGACACCTCTACCGAGTTTCTACGCCCAGCCGTTCTCTCAAATTACCTGTCACAAAGAAAAACAGTTTCAAATTAATATATAGATAAATTAAAACGTGACAGGGTTTTTTAATTTCACGATTCTGAATCAACCAATTGACGGATTCTCATGATTTTTGTGTTGGAAGAAAGATAATTTTGAGCAGCTGTACACATTATGCGTGTGTGACACAACTTCAGCATTTGGATGATAATGACATGCAAAGGGTTGACTTATTTATACTATGTGTAATGCTATACTCATTGATACATTCATTTATTAGGTAAGAGGATGACAGACTATTTAAATATAAATTGGTAAAATGTTAGATGTTCTAATTTATTTTTTAAAGCAGTCTTTAAAATGTTATGCTTGTTTTAGTGCAATATAATTTGTTTTAAATAACAGCTGGTTGAATATACAAATATTCATTAGAACTATCAGGTTAGTTTATTATTCTGTGATTTTGCCATTGATTATAGAAAACAAGTAAGATTCTGTAACCACTGATGTAACCACCGTATACAAATCGAGGCTCTGTCCCCAAGTTTTCGAAGGAAAGCTAATGCAAATTATTTTTCTGTTCGACTGTTGGAGGAAAGAATAGGAAAATAACAATGTTTACATGTTTTAGTTCATCTTGGAAGGTTTTTGTTTACAGTAAATGTTTAACCGCTTGAACTTTGCTTGGATTAGAAATGGAAATATTGATCTAACTTAAGTTTTAGTTGAACACTCAATTCCCGTACGTAGGATGGGCCAACAGCTCGATAGATTTAAAGAATACTTTGGTTTGCTGCTCAGGGAAGGTAAACAGTTTTTATCAAATGTTAATAGTTGCCTATGATATCAATATTTTAAAATAAATTTGCCAAATTTGATCAAAATATATCCATAAACAAGCAAACTAGCCTACATCTTTCTTTTTCTCCATTATAATGAACATTTTAAATGTACAGTTTTTGTAATTCTCTCCGTAACCTAATGGTATGGCAATGTTTCTATATACAAAATTGTTTGTTTTTTTTAATCTCTATATGGCTGTAATAAAAATTGGGAATTTCTCTATGTTTTAAAACTATAAATATGAAAAATTCAACTTTTGCAAATTGTAAAACCACATAACATTCCCATGACACAATGTCGCTTGTGAACTCATTCAAGTCCATCTCGCCCTACACGTTCATGCCAAATTTAATCAAAATTGGACCAAAATTACTAGAGTTATCGTTTTTATGGACACACACATATATAATTTCCCATGTAATGTAAAAATTTGAAGCCAAGACAAAATACGAAGTGCAGGACCTTCTCACCAAAGGGTACCAGTTAATTCTATATTGGGTATTCTATAATCTAAAACAAGTGCATGTACGGGCAACAGTTTTTTTCTGTCGGAGGATTTTAGATTTTTTTCTTTAATACGAGGTATTTGGCCACGAGAAATCGATTGGAGTTGGTCACAAGGCTGGGAAAAATCCAGTTTCCATCCTACAGCCCTTGAAAGGGTCGATGTTACTGTCAATACCTTTTTGTAGCTGAAGTTAACAAAAACAGTTGATACAGATTATTTTTACTGTCATAAATTTGATTTACGTGTAAACAAAAAAACTCTATTGGTTTACATACAGATTATACAGGTGATACAGGTTACTGTTAAATGTTTTCATGGTTAATTTACAAGATTAAGAATGAAACGCGGAAGACAATCGAATATAAATAGTCCGAAAGGGAGAGAAGCTACAATCGATCCACAGGAAACAAATTTCACCTCCTCGTCTATACTCGAGCCAGTCCCAACCAGCTCATACCTCTCACCAAATGTCCCAAAACCTTGGCCAAGTATTGCACCGAAGAATAAAAAGAGAGAAATAATTTAAGATATTATGACTGGCAGGCCATGTAAAATAATAAACAGCAGGCCGATCATCTTGAGCAGGAGTGTCGACGATCGCTGCTCAATGTTTGGAAGAACGTCAGTGCACTGCAATACCTCAAACCTCCAAAGTCCCCATGTCAGCGGATTTTGGATATTCACGATTGGAAACGACTGGCCTGTCATGAATGCAAACGACGTTTGTCCAAACTGATCCACGGTCAGAGGGTAGTTCTTTATCATCCAAATTGATCCAGAAATCTGGCAGGTCGAAAATGGGGTCGCTTGAAACATCCAGTTTGATCCGTGATGAATGGGGGATGGCCTCTACTCCCTGTAGCCTACAGGTAGCCTAAAAACACACTATTCCGTAGCATTTCATTATTACTGCCCATTATAAATTCAAAACGTCAAAAAACTATGAGCTTTCAGTTTATATAAGTGTACAGAGTTATGCCGGTTTTTGAATATTAAAGCGAAATGTTATTACTCAAGTCACGGTACTGCAATGAGCCTAATCTAAATGCTACGAAACTGGTGTAATTAGACACACATTACACAGCGATTATATGTTTTTGGTTTGTAATGAAACTATTTTTGTAAATGATAAAATGTGTCTGATCATGATATTGTTTTGAAACGGAAACCTCCAGATTTTACTGTTATGTATGTATGCTCCCTTTATACACTATGCATGCTATGTTACATTGTTTGAACTTTTTTTGCTTTTAACAACAGGCCTGGTTAAAATCTCTTCCTAACAATACTACTTTTCCGCCCTTTCCTTAACCCTTCCCTATGCTTTTGTACCATTCCTAAATACTCTACTTCGTAGTCGCTGTCTTCCCCCATCACGGTAGATTTCAACACTGCATTACCATTCTAACCCAAAAACAGAACACTAAAATCAATAAACAAACAAATACACAATGTTTACATCAGCTGGTATATTTAAAACAGCTTATAGAAACACTGTAACAGTACAGTATTATAGCGTATTAGATAATGACTGGATCTTTAACGGCGTGTGGGACAGAGCAAGGGTAATTTTTGACACTTCTGATATTTTCCCACCGTCCGTGTACCTCAAGCTTTCAAATGTATCCTCAACAGCCATGCTACCCTTTTCCTAGCTCGAGATATTTCGTGGGTCGGACCAATTCACTTACGGAATTAAATATAGTACAATTTAAAGTGTAAAGCAATAGGTAGAGCAAGCATCTTTTTACACATGAAAGTAAATGAAACCTTTCTTTATTTTGCCTTGTTAGCGAATTCCCCTATAGGAAAGTAGTTATTACCGTAGGTGGCATGTTAAGACTTAGGCCCGGGACCGATTTACTTTTTCATTTCGATGTCTCCAGAGGCCAAACACACCATTCGTTCGAATTTTTATATGTGTATTTGTGTGTCTCCATAAAAACGATAACTTGAGTAATTTTCGTCTGATTTTGATGAAATTTGGTTTGAAGGTGTAAGCTGGGATAAACTTGAATGAGTTGGCAAACCAGCATAATCAGACCATGGGAACGGGGTTTAACGGGGGGGGGTTATGGGGTAAAAATGATTTTTTTAATTTTTTGCCCTTAAAACACCCAATTTTTTAATTTTTCTCCAGAACTCATTAAAGAGCTTAAAAAAAAAACTTAACTAATAATTTAGTATATCAAAGTGTTTTTGTACGGTTATTGATTGGTTACACAGAGAAAATTCAAAAAATTATTATTATAATAGAGTATATTGTAAAATGTTGTAGTTGACTTGTTTATGGATATATTTTGGTCAAACTTGGCAGATTTATTTATTTTATACTAAGCTATAATATTTTAATAAAAACACCCTTTATTAGTTTCCCTGTAGCAGCAAACCTAGGTACTCGTTAAACATCTATATACTTATTTAATACGCAAGCAGGTTTTTTGTGACAATTACTCAACTCCGAAACTACTGAACCGATTGACATGTTTTTGGTGTCGTTGGAAAGAGCGTAACATGAAGTTGTGCAGGAAACTTTCTTTTTAGGGAAATAATTAGAGAGGGAGGCCCTGGAGCCCTTAAAGTTTTGTATTTCCTTATAAGATTAAGATGGGAAACAAAAATTGTTAAGAAAACTCCAGCTGTTGTCAGAAATTAAAAGTGAGAAGAAGAAGTCAATAAGTTTGCTAATTTAACAGTTTGCTACAAACATTTACTGACTTGGTTGAAATGAAATATTTACTATTTGAATTTGGGTTCCTGGTGTAAATATTACAATGGAGAAAGCGAGTGAGCCTGGATAAAGTGATATAGGTACTAAAAAGAAAACGGAATTAGCACTGTGCTTTATCTCTTAGTAATCATTGAATGAGCCGATTTCATTGAACCATAGGAAAGTCATAGAACACCATCAAGGAGAAGAAATAGAAACAATTTTTAGTTTATATTAAGTTTTTATTTTTTTATTTATTATTGTTATTATGGACAACCTAATTCGGCTATGAGTAAGGCTATTTGTAGAAAACAATGTCTTATAGAAAACACTAAAAACAAGATTATACCAGCTTTTGAAAAATGATAAGATATTTACATGAAATGTTGATTATATCGATCTGTCATGTACATCTTGAGTATTTCCAAAATCTTTGAGTCGAATCTTTTAAATTCATCAGAAATTATGACTGTTATTGGTATTAAAATATTGCCTGTAATACTTAGCAATTGCTCGAACTCGAGCAACAGGGATACTAGTTAATGTTAATTTACCTTATACATTAATTGAAAACCAATCCAGGCAAATAGAAATTTTCTTAGTCGGCAGGTTTGCTGCAGGATATTTTGGTTAGTTATAGCTGGCAATTTGTGACAATGCTATCTCTTTCAACAAGCTAGCTAAAAAAAATCATCTCATATCTCAAGTTTCTTGAGAAGCTAAATATTAAAATATTTGCTTGAAAATGATCAGTTACAAGAGTATGCGCACGCTCCTACTTATACCTGACCCCCTACTACAAAGGTACTGGTAACCTTTCATTGTGTTTAAAATTTTAATTTCTTTTTAGCTAAAATGCAGACGTGCCGATTCAAGGCAAGAGACCGCAGCAATGACTGGAAATGTTGTTTCTGTTGTCATGTGCGCACAGGAACCATTTTCTTTGGAATATGGCACTTGGTAAGTTCAATTTTTTTGTCAACAGGTCTTCACGTTTTACCCTAAGCTACTAATAAGTTTTTTTTCACTTGTGTCAAATCTATTTTGTTTGGACTGTGATGAATAATTTGTCTTGAGCGACCATTCCATTTTGTCTGCTCATTTAATAGACTTGAGCTATTAAAAAGCTCACAATATAGATTCCAACAACCATGAAACTAGAGTTGAGCACATGAGCAGAGGCAAGGGACGAGTCTTTGTTAACCAACTATAATATTTAGGCTAGTGATAACAATGTAGGCCTAAGTGTACAGTTGTTTAGTAGTTTTATATTTCTTCACGTTAAATCTATTTCATCTGTCTAGACTGTATATAAATATATTCGTGGCTCAAATACCTGGCCAAGGAGATGGATCTTTCAACTGTCTTGAAGTGACTTATTGAATCAACAACCAGCTGAGAATAGTAGTATCACCATTTGTAAAGGCCAATATTTTTTTTGCTAAAAATGATAATTGTAGTCATTTTATGTCTATAAACTAGATTTTATATCAGGGTGCTGCGTAAAGTTGTGAAATCGCGTCGCTCATCCTACACTCTTTGCCATTCATACTTGGCTTAAAATACCTACTTTGTATGGTCGCCATTTCAATAAAAATTATTAAGTATTAAGAAATTAAAGTTCCTATAGTGCAGACAATTTGTAATTGGTACATACAAGAGAAACAATAGTTATTATCCTACAGTCGCCTGACAAATAGGCTTCCTTGCACTGATTACAGTACAGAAAGTTGCTAATTGCTGCATTGACTTAATTTTGTTGCACACAGTTTGTTTTATTATGCACGTAATCCGTGTACGCTTGGAAATAGGTTGGCAACACTTAAAGATTATATGACTACGATCAGCTGGTGCAGTTGTTTCCCATTTAGTTCAATGCTTGGATTTAACAAACTAAAACGTGTTGTTTACTGTTTGAAAGACTAATTATTTATATGCTTCATAATAACTCTAGGAAAAATATAACGCGTAACGCGAGTGCAAATTGCCTTTGCTGCACTCTAGGAACTTTCCACACTCTCCTGTGACTCGTGCTTTAGTCTGCAGGTTTGCTGCAGCAGGGGTATTTTACTCATTAAACAAAGTTAAATTTTAAGATTTTGACAGTATCATTTCATTTTATTTAACTGAGTGACATAAATTGTCGTAAACCAAACCTTAAAAGTAAATGTTGATTTTGTCAGGTTTCACCTATTTTTGATAAATAAAACTGAATATACTTTATTTAAAGTAGTTTTTAGTAAAGATATTTGACTGTTGCAGAATTATTCACTTACAGCCTGACTAAAATAATATTGAATATCTCTAGAAGTTTTGTGTCAGCCATTTCTTAGGAAAACTAAATAGAGCTTTTTCTGATAAGAATAAGCACTTATGGTATTAATACAGTAGTGCCATTGAAACATCATCCTTCCCATGATTTTGTTTACTGTTTATTAATGCAGAACCATGAAATGTTAGTGTTACTGTAGTAGAAAAGATCAGTGATTCAGTGTATGAATGTTTGTGAAATGTAATTACCAAGTTGACAAAGCACGAATACAGATAACATATCTCTGGACTCTCAAGGACAATCCCACTCTGCTTTTTCTTGCACTTTTGTTCCCTTTGTGTACCTATATTAAAAAAAATAAATATAATGTATATAAATATATATACAAGAAAACAAAGACTAACTTTGTCTTGTTAAAGGTTTAATAAAAAATCAGAAATAATATTGTACAAGTCGGTGATTAAAAATATATTTGGCTAGTTGTATGAATTTCATTTAGTATACACCTAAACCTTTTTATGTAAATTGACCTGGTCATGTCTTCATATCTTTAAACGACATTAACGTTTTTGTATAATCTGTGAATAGTAACTTTATATTTAAAAATAAGTTGATTACTGAGTATTGTAGGCCTATTACTATCGTTGAGATCAAATTCAGAAAAGAACTGTCAATTAGCCTATTTTGAGAGTAAGATTTTGTGAAAAAAACTTCTATACAACTGTTTAACAGTTACGTACAAAACAACTGTTGTAGATATCCTTGTACTAAAATAGCCTAAATACGCTAAATTCTAACCATTCTTTAACTGAAAAAATTGGTTGTCCAAAACGGCTTTTCCCCCTTTCTCGCTTAATCAGAGTTTCACTGTAATAAATCTAGTGAGAATGTCTCATGAAATTCTAATAAAATTTATGTATTATTTAGTAATACTGAACTGAAACGTGTTGTCTTGTATGGGTTTTAATGTGGACCTGTATTTGGAGATGCTGCAGGTGTTGGCTCTGTCAGTACTGGCTGTGGTGCTGCGTCACCCTGAGCTGATGAGTTATGACCACAGCAGCGCTGGACCGGAGCCTACACCACTGGCGGAACTGGAGATGATACATGACGAGGGAGGCAACTTGCAGCTCACTCTGGGACAGATCCCGGAGAGGCCCATCTCCATCCAGAACAACAACTTTGCTAGCCGCGCCAGCTACTATCGTGAGTTTGAAGTCTCCTAGGCGTGGAGATGAATATATGTTTAAGACTATAATAATTGAAAATCAAGCCACATATGACTTTAACTGTGCCAGGTGATATATGAAGTACGCAGAGTATATGTAAGCTTGCCATTTTATAAGTTGTGTATTATTCCAGCTTCAAGAACGAATTATTAATAAACTAGTTTACCTTGTGGTTGCCAGATTCTTGAAATGTGTAGATATCTTGCTCGATGTACATTTCGCTACATGTTTAGCATCATCAGGAGCACAGTTTGTCACATTAGTCTATTTAACACAAACACTATTTACAAATATTTACATTTTCGGTCGGATGACGATTTACGGTAAAGTCATAGGAATCCAGCGCGCGAACGCGTGCGCGGACCACGGCGCGGGCCGGAGCCACTACATGTGTCACTATTTGACTGACAACTGGCTTGAGGAGGTATGTTTGGGGAGGTTCGGTCAGGGGATGGGGGTGAGTTTACGATGTTAGAGCTTTCTCTTCTTGGACTGCGACGTTGCCAAGTCTCTGCGCTGTTGCCACATTGATCTTCTAGATGGTTTATAAGTTTGAAAATTATTGAATTGTTGTAATCTTCTTTTTTGTTTAACAGGGTGTCTGCATTTGAACTATGGGTATGTTTATATATGTGGTAGCTTTCTTGGACTTTCGCTATTGACTTAGAATTTGTGCGTTTGAGGATTGTTAATGATTCTGGAAATGAGATGTGGTGGTTCTGATTACTTTTCAGGTGTTTGGCGACTAATGATTCTGGATTGGCGTGGTGGCTGGCACTATGTTCTTTGAATCGCTGTTTAAATGATCTGTTAGTATAAACCAATGTATTCTTTTTGACATGGTGGTGCACATGTTATTTTATATACGCCTCTTTCTTGTTCTATTGGGATGTCAGTTTTCTCAGCTATTCTGTAGTTTGGGACGGGATTTGTTTTTACTATGTATGCAGGTTTATATCCTGCATCGTTGAAGACTTAACAGAGAAAATTGGAAAAGTCTTCAACAATGCAGGATATAAACCTGCATACAGAGTAAAAACAAATCCCGTCCCAAACTACAGAATAGCTGAGAAAACTGACATCCCAATAGAACAAGAAAGAGGCGTATATAAAATAACATGTGCACCACCATGTCAAAAAGAATACATTGGTTTATACTAACAGATCATTTAAACAGCGATTCAAAGAACATAGTGCCAGCCACCACGCCAATCCAGAATCATTAGTCGCCAAACACCTGAAAAGTAATCAGAACCACCACATCTCATTTCCAGAATCATTAACAATCCTCAAACGCACAAATTCTAAGTCAATAGCGAAAGTCCAAGAAAGCTACCACATATATAAACATACCCATAGTTCAAATGCAGACACCCTGTTAAACAAAAAAGAAGATTACAACAATTCAATAATTTTCAAACTTATAAACCATCTAGAAGATCAATGTGGCAACAGCGCAGAGACTTGGCAACGTCGCAGTCCAAGAAGAGAAAGCTCTAACATCGTAAACTCACCCCCATCCCCTGACCGAACCTCCCCAAACATACCTCCTCAAGCCAGTTGTCAGTCAAATAGTGACACATGTAGTGGCTCCGGCCCGCGCCGTGGTCCGCGCACGCGTTCGCGCGCTGGATTCCTATGACTTTACCGTAAATCGTCATCCGACCGAAAATGTAAATATTTGTAAATAGTGTTTGTGTTAAATAGACTAATGTGACAAACTGTGCTCCTGATGATGCTACACATGTAGCGAAATGTACATCGAGCAAGATATCTACACATTTCAAGAATCTGGCAACCACAAGGTAAACTTGCCATTTTCTTGTAGCCAGCAGACTCTAGTATCAAGCATTCACTTGCAGATAAGGTTCCATCTCACCCAATGCTCAATGAGTTTGGAAACGAGAAATTCTCTTTACTCATTTCTGGAAACCTGACCAAAAAAGGTTTCATGCTTCAATCTCAGATAAGATTGTATAGGGTTATAGGCTTCTTATAAACATATGATAGGTAAAGCTAAACGTAAACAAGTTTCAGAAGCATTGTTTTAATCTGTAATAGAAGTTAATATTTTTTGTCAACAAGAAAATCTTTTGATTATCTTATTTATTTCATTATTTTATTTAATATCCTATTTTAATATTTGAAACTAATTTTTTATAGGTTAGTTACATCTTAGTTGCACATAACACTTTGTGTCCCTTATGAAGTTTAAGAGCCTTACCTTAAAACTTTTAAACACGCTAAGTTTAATAGGTCAGCAAAGGCACTCTCACAATTAAGCTCGTTTTAGGAATAGCCTATTAAAAGTTTTAGTAGAATTCATTACATAACAAAAATAATATTTTCATAAGCAATTTATTTTAGGCGACGTGAATACGTGTGTGATATTCACATTTTGCACCTTCATGATCACTCTGCTAATGGTCTATGGAGCAATCAAGGGGAAGCCTGTGTATCTGCTCCCATTCTTCTGTCTCCAAGTCTTTGATTTCTGTCTCTCCAGGTAAAATATTTATATATACCACTATATCTAAAATGTTATACACCTTATCAATAAAATGACTTAACAATTTCTGGCACACATTTTTTGTGTGTATGGTTTCAGTTGAGTCTCTGTCAATCCTAAATATTTAGGACCAGATACAGTTGTACTATAGTGTCATATAATTTTTTTAATTAAAAAAAGCATTAAGTCTTTCAAGGGGATGCATGGTTCGTTAGTTGGTAAAATTGTCAGTGTTATACTGTAATTGTGACACTAAATATGTTGATGGTGTCTGCTCTCTAAAAATTTTGGGAAAACCAGGAACCCTACAGGAATTTTATATTTACCATGAAATATTCTGGAAAACTGCAGGAACTGAGCCAACCCTCCAGGAATCCTAAATATGACAGTAAATTCAGTAGAGCGTCGGATTTAAACAAATTTTCAAAGCCTGGTCATATGAGTCTTCGGATAACCAAAAGACGGATTACGGGGGTAGCCGCGATCGCGAATGACGATCGAGCGGTGACGTCGAGACTGCTAGATATGTTCACAGATGTTGCAGCGGTCACTGGAGACAATTACCGGCGTCACCAAGACCGCTAGATATGCTCAAGGGTGTTGCCACGGTCGCAGGAGACGTTTACTGGTGTTGTCGAGACCGCTAGATATGCTCACCAGTGTTGATGTGATTGTGGGAGACGATTACTGGTGTCGCAAAGACCACTAAATATGCTCACGGGTGTTGCCGCAGTATAAGGAAACGGTTACTGGTGTTGCCAAGATTGCAATATAAACTACCGAGTGTTGCTGCAATAGCAGTAGACATTTACTGGTGTCGTTAAAACTGCTAGATATGCTCACCGGTACCGGTTGATGTGATCACGGGAGACGATTACCACATCCCAAGACCGCAAGTAATGCTTACGGTTGTTGCCGTGGTTGCAGTAGACGATTTAAGGTGCGCAAAAAATGGGCTCACGGTTGTTGCCGCAGTCGTGGGAGACAATCACCGTTGTTGCGGAGACTTTATTTTTTTTTTTAAGGAAGAGGAGGGAAAATGCTTTTACGCACACAGGTAGCCAGCTTGTAGTGTGAGACTCCTGAATTTATCACAGACTACTCACTAAAATTACATTAAAGCCTAAAGGAATGTAGAAATATTGAGAAAATTCTAATCAGTGTGAAGAAAGTTAAAAAAATTTTATTTCCAAAACGAAATCAGATGTTTCAAGAGAGTAGAAGTTATCACATTGCAGCTCCAGTCCCAAAGATACCTGACATAATGAAGAAAATGAAGAATACAAGAGTAAATTGAAGATTTTCCACCTTGAACACAGCTAAAAGAACGGTCTAAACCGAAGAAATTGGCTTGTTATGATGGTCTCAATATGATGATTAATGAAACATTGGTGAAACGGAATAAGAACACCATACACTTATCAAGAAGCAATCAAAAGTCTTCAGTACAAAAAAACAAGCAATAGAGAGTGAGATTACAGCTTTAGAAGAAAACCAAACATAGGAACTATTTAATTTGCCTGAAGGAGTCAAAGCAATTCCTAGCACGTGGGTTTACAGAGTAAAGACAAACCGTAATACAAGTATTGACAAGACTGGTTCTAAAAGGGCTTAACCAACATTATGACTAGGGATGGACGAGATTGGATTTTTAGTTCGAGACGAGACGAGACAAGATTTTTTATTTCTCATAAAATTTCGAGACGAGATCGAGACGGGATTTTCCTTCTCAAACACAACGGGAAATGTACGTTCGGAATTTTTACCTGATTTTGTAACATTGTTAGATAACTATTTTTAATACAAAAATAATGATAATAGGCAAGAATATTTACAATCTTTTATTAAAAAACATCAGCATAACATTTTTTTATTAATCACGCCTAACTTATTAAAAATGCCTACGATTAGGAAACATAGTGATATCAGTTAGGATAGAGTTCAACTTATCCTAAAATAAAATAAATCATAAAATAAAATTTATTAATTTTTATAAAATAGTTACTTGTTTTGACTTTTTTTATAGTAATAAAACATTCCTCACACTGCTAACACTTAACAAAACTTCTCAAATGTTATTAAAATAATTAAAGTAATATTTACATTTGAAGAATTAATTCAATAAGAACGCCTTCGCAAAGGAAACGCAACTACAACACGCTCCTGTATTGCGGGTATTGCATTGACTTTCTGCAGGCGTTTTTAATTTTTTTTTTTTTTTTTTTTTTTTTTTTTATTCTCGTCTCGATAAAAATCTCGGCCAAAAAGAAATCTCGTCTCGTGTAACAAGATTTAAAATTTCCCGAAAATTTCCCGAAATTTCGAGACTTGACCATCCCTAATTATGACACAGATAGACTATAAAAAAACATTTAGCCCAGTAGCAAAAATTAGCAGGATTCTATCAATTTAAGTATTGCTGCAACTTAAAAGTTTGCATTTGATGAAATTTGATGCTTTACTTTCAACTAAATTTTTGTATGGTGAGCTTGAAGAAGTAATTTATATGCAACAACCAGAATTTTGTAGTGACAACACCACCGTACTTAAGTTAAAAATAAGTTTGTATGGACCTAAACAAGCAACTCAATTTCATATTTTGTTGTGGTGTTTCCGGACCAATTGATTGACAAATAAATAAAAGGTTAAAATACCTGCTTGTCGCCTTGTGGTCCAAGTATTGTCCTAGTGGATCATGTACATTTCGGCGCGAGCGCCATCGTCGGATCCGTATAAGAACTGTTTACACTAAACTTCCCTGAAGAGGTGCGTAAGTTGTCCACAACACAAAACACATATAAAAACCGGTCGACCGTTATTTAACATTTTTTACTTTTGCTACGTGTGCACGGGCAGGATATGGAGGCGCGCCAGACGTGTGTCGAGACTCGACTGAAGACGGTAGTTGGTCGTGATCTGACCTTTGTCCTGGTGACGTAGCTAGTGCAGCATTGTTTCGGCTATTATTCATCTGTATTAAGGTTTCAAAAAGAATGTTGGATTGCAGGGTGTTTTTGTCGTTTAACAGGTTGTTTGTTTCAATTTTAGAGGCTCTGTAAATTTCGAACTGTTCCAATGCCGTCATTGTTCGGCCTTTTTGGCAAATATGTAAAGGCTGCAAATTTGTTGTTATATCAGTATAACTATGGTTACTGGCTACCAAATGGTCGGCGAAATTTGATTTTTGAACGATGGTTTTCTTGGGAAGATGTTCTTTAAACCTCTTTACAAAGGGCCTTCCAGTTTGGCCAATGTAAAACTTATCACAGTCATTACAGGTTATTTTATAAACTCCTGTTTTTTGACAAAAATCCTGTGGTGTATTTTTTACGGAAAGGAGATTTTGGAGTTTGTTTGATGTTTTGAAGGCTACAATTTTGCCATGCTTTTTCATCTGGTTTTTCAGTGTATGGGAGAGGTTGGTTCCAAATTCAACTGATACATACTCCATTCGCTCTTTATTGTTATCAGTGCTAGTAATGGCTTTTTTCTTGATTATCTGTTTATTGGTTAAACTATCTATCAATTTAGGGCTGTATCCATTTGAGACGGCGATGTATTTAATTATGTTTATCTCTTTTTCATAATCATCGGGGTTTAGGGGGACGGTGAGCATTCTATGAATGAAACTATTGTATGCTGCTATCTTGTGTTGGAAGGGGTGATGGGAAGTTTCATGAATGGTGGTATCAGTGGCTGTAGGTTTCCTGTAGATGCTGAATACAATCTTATCTTTTGTTTTTGTTAGTGTTAGGTCTAGGAAATTGAGTTTTTCGTTTTCTTCAAATTCTATTGTAAATTTTAGCTGTGGATGAATGTTGTTTAAATAGTTGTTAAAAAGCTGGATTTGTCTATTGTTGCCATTATACATGATGATGATATCGTCAACATATCTATGGTAGAAAATGATACGGTCCTTGTATTTGTTGGTATTGTCTGTCCATAAATGCTGATTCTCCATTTCATTCAGGAATATTTCTGCTAATATTCCTGATAAAGGTGACCCCATGGCGAGCCCTTCTTTCTGTGTAAAATATTCATTATTGAAACTGAAATAATTTTGTTGGAGTACTGTTCTCAGTAAAAGCATCAATTCATTTATTTCATCTTGGTTCAAATTAGAATTTTCGGTCAGATTTTTCTGTAGTATTTTTAGAGTTTCTAGGACGGGTACATTAGTATATAGGCTGGAGATATCTAAAGAGGCAAGAGTGTGTCTGTCATTAGGTTTTATGTCTTTGATTTTATTTACTAGATCCATACTATTTTTTAGGCTGTGGCTATTATTAAATGTGACGTTCATTTTTACAATTTTCTCTAATCTTTTAGCTAGTTTGTAAGCGGGGGCCGGCATGTAGTTTACTAATGGTCTCATAGGCTGTCCGTTTTTATGTAATTTAGGCAAACCTTTCAGAGGTGGGGCATGAGGATTTATGGGTTTAAATTCTCTGATTTCTCTTTCGTTTAATATATATTTGCTGCTTGACAATACTTTATTTATTTCTTTAACATACTTGACTGTGGGATCCTGTGGAAGTTTTTCTATTTGGTTATTACTAATAAACTCATGTACTTTTTTATTATATTCATCTTGGTTCATTATGACGAGTGTGTTGCCTTTATCTGCCTTAGTGATGACTAGATTATTCGTGTTAAGTTTCTGACGAATAGTTTTCAATATTTTAGCCTCTTTGATGTGGAGACTATTGATTTTGGGATGGGTTGGATGTTTTATTAATTTCTTGAGTTTGTTATTTACCATGACTCTTACTGTGTTTTGTTCATTTGTATCACTCAAGGTTTGTATGGTTGCATCTGAGTTGATAATTTCAGAGAAAAGACTCTTGCTGCCATGTTGGGGTAGGTTGTATGTAAGTCCTTTGTTTAAGAGATCCATTTCATCTGAATCAAAAACTATGTTTGTTAGATTGATGGTTCGGGGGTAGAACTTGTGGGAGATTTTATTAATGTCGAAACTGTGTTTAGTATTTAATAGGTTGTCAAGTTTTTTCTTTAAGGTTTTCTTTTTGTTTTGGATAACTATATTTATCTGAGATTCTATTTTTTGTGTTATTTCATTTATTTGAGTTGGATGAACTAGATTTAGCATAGCGATGTGGGATCTGAGCAGTAGTTTGTTGAGCATTGATTTTTTCCTGTACTGTTGTTTTATTTCGTTCTTTAACCAACATTTCTCTGCTGTTGATTTAGCTTTTTTGGCAAATACTGATTTGTTATTTATTTTTCCGTAAAAATAAATAACAAATCAGTATCTGCCAAAAAAGCTAAATCAACAGCAGAGAAATGTTGGTTAAAGAACGAAATAAAACAACAGTACAGGAAAAAATCAATGCTCAACAAACTACTGCTCAGATCCCACATCGCTATGCTAAATCTAGTTCATCCAACTCAAATAAATGAAATAACACAAAAAATAGAATCTCAGATAAATATAGTTATCCAAAACAAAAAGAAAACCTTAAAGAAAAAACTTGACAACCTATTAAATACTAAACACAGTTTCGACATTAATAAAATCTCCCACAAGTTCTACCCCCGAACCATCAATCTAACAAACATAGTTTTTGATTCAGATGAAATGGATCTCTTAAACAAAGGACTTACATACAACCTACCCCAACATGGCAGCAAGAGTCTTTTCTCTGAAATTATCAACTCAGATGCAACCATACAAACCTTGAGTGATACAAATGAACAAAACACAGTAAGAGTCATGGTAAATAACAAACTCAAGAAATTAATAAAACATCCAACCCATCCCAAAATCAATAGTCTCCACATCAAAGAGGCTAAAATATTGAAAACTATTCGTCAGAAACTTAACACGAATAATCTAGTCATCACTAAGGCAGATAAAGGCAACACACTCGTCATAATGAACCAAGATGAATATAATAAAAAAGTACATGAGTTTATTAGTAATAACCAAATAGAAAAACTTCCACAGGATCCCACAGTCAAGTATGTTAAAGAAATAAATAAAGTATTGTCAAGCAGCAAATATATATTAAACGAAAGAGAAATCAGAGAATTTAAACCCATAAATCCTCATGCCCCACCTCTGAAAGGTTTGCCTAAATTACATAAAAACGGACAGCCTATGAGACCATTAGTAAACTACATGCCGGCCCCCGCTTACAAACTAGCTAAAAGATTAGAGAAAATTGTAAAAATGAACGTCACATTTAATAATAGCCACAGCCTAAAAAATAGTATGGATCTAGTAAATAAAATCAAAGACATAAAACCTAATGACAGACACACTCTTGCCTCTTTAGATATCTCCAGCCTATATACTAATGTACCCGTCCTAGAAACTCTAAAAATACTACAGAAAAATCTGACCGAAAATTCTAATTTGAACCAAGATGAAATAAATGAATTGATGCTTTTACTGAGAACAGTACTCCAACAAAATTATTTCAGTTTCAATAATGAATATTTTACACAGAAAGAAGGGCTCGCCATGGGGTCACCTTTATCAGGAATATTAGCAGAAATATTCCTGAATGAAATGGAGAATCAGCATTTATGGACAGACAATACCAACAAATACAAGGACCGTATCATTTTCTACCATAGATATGTTGACGATATCATCATCATGTATAATGGCAACAATAGACAAATCCAGCTTTTTAACAACTATTTAAACAACATTCATCCACAGCTAAAATTTACAATAGAATTTGAAGAAAACGAAAAACTCAATTTCCTAGACCTAACACTAACAAAAACAAAAGATAAGATTGTATTCAGCATCTACAGGAAACCTACAGCCACTGATACCACCATTCATGAAACTTCCCATCACCCCTTCCAACACAAGATAGCAGCATACAATAGTTTCATTCATAGAATGCTCACCGTCCCCCTAAACCCCGATGATTATGAAAAAGAGATAAACATAATTAAATACATCGCCGTCTCAAATGGATACAGCCCTAAATTGATAGATAGTTTAACCAATAAACAGATAATCAAGAAAAAAGCCATTACTAGCACTGATAACAATAAAGAGCGAATGGAGTATGTATCAGTTGAATTTGGAACCAACCTCTCCCATACACTGAAAAACCAGATGAAAAAGCATGGCAAAATTGTAGCCTTCAAAACATCAAACAAACTCCAAAATCTCCTTTCCGTAAAAAATACACCACAGGATTTTTGTCAAAAAACAGGAGTTTATAAAATAACCTGTAATGACTGTGATAAGTTTTACATTGGCCAAACTGGAAGGCCCTTTGTAAAGAGGTTTAAAGAACATCTTCCCAAGAAAACCATCGTTCAAAAATCAAATTTCGCCGACCATTTGGTAGCCAGTAACCATAGTTATACTGATATAACAACAAATTTGCAGCCTTTACATATTTGCCAAAAAGGCCGAACAATGACGGCATTGGAACAGTTCGAAATTTACAGAGCCTCTAAAATTGAAACAAACAACCTGTTAAACGACAAAAACACCCTGCAATCCAACATTCTTTTTGAAACCTTAATACAGATGAATAATAGCCGAAACAATGCTGCACTAGCTACGTCACCAGGACAAAGGTCAGATCACGACCAACTACCGTCTTCAGTCGAGTCTCGACACACGTCTGGCGCGCCTCCATATCCTGCCCGTGCACGCGTAGCAAAAGTAAAAAATGTTAAATAACGGTCGACCGGTTTTTATATGTGTTTTGTGTTGTGGACAACTTACGCACCTCTTCAGGGAAGTTTAGTGTAAACAGTTCTTATACGGATCCGACGATGGCGCTCGCGCCGAAATGTACATAATCCACTAGGACAATACTTGGACCACAAGGCGACAAGCAGGTATTTTAACCTTTTATTTATTTGTCAAGCAACTCAATGTTTAGCAAAGCCTTTTGATGGGTTTCTTTCAGCCAAAGGATTCAAGCTTTGTCACGCTGATCAATGCCTTTACATGAAGGAGAGTAACAACAGGAAGTCATTTGTCGCTTTTTATGTAGATAATAAATTAGTTATCTTAACACATGAAGAAGACATATACAGGGTTTTCTTAAAGAGTTGAAGAAAGAGTTCAAGATGCTAGTCAAACCTGCATCGTTCTTTCTTGGTACAGTAGACTCTCAGTAATCCGGTAGATATAGGACCGTGATACTGCCGGACTAGTGAAAATGCCGGATTAATGGAATGTTATCAATAAAAACACGTTTCCGAAGATCGCACGATCTGAATTCACTATTGCTGCGATCGGGCATGACAACGATGATGTTTCCGTAATCGTGGGAGACGATGATATTGTCTACACAGCCGCGGGAGATGATCATGATTTTGCCACGATCGTGCGTGACGACAGTAACATTTCCATGACCGCGGGAGATGTTAATGATTTTGCCATGATCGCGCAAGGCGGCGATGACGTTTCCATGACCTAGGGAGGCGATGATAACGTCTACACGTCTGCAGGAGATGTTTATTATTTTACCGTGATCGCGCATGACGACAATGACGTTTACGTGACTGCGGGAGATGTTCATGGTTTTGCCGTGAGCGCAAAAGACGACGATGACGTTTCCTTGATCGCGGGAGTGGATGATCATGTCTACACGGCAGGGGAGATAATCAACATTTTGCTGCAATCACAGAAGATCTCAGCCGTCAAAAGACGCCGGATTACTGGAGTGCCGCAGTGCCAGATAGAGGGTCTGCTGTATTGAAATTGAACATATGAAAGATGGAGGAATCAAAATTAGCCGAAAAGCATATGCAAAGAAATTTTCTTGAACGGGTTAACTTACAAGATTCTAAACCAGTGACAACTCTATACTTAAAGGATTTATAAAACTTGGTTTTGATAAAGTTAAAGAAAAAAACTATATGAGTAGTTTACAGACAAGTACTGTAGTAGGAGCGGAGCACTAATGTATTTATTTGATGATTGGATCAAGACCTGACTTGGCTGTCAGTGTAAGATTCCTTTCAAGAGATTTTGTCCCCCTTAAGAGAGGACTTAGGTATGTTTTATGGGAACATGTCCTTTAGGAATCATTTATAAGCCAAAACAACAAAATGGTTTATTGGAGTGCTACAGTGATTCTTGTTGCCTTTAGAGGTTGCAACAAGACTGGGACAGCATAAGGAATTATTATAAAACATGCAGTTGGATTTTTGGCGATGGAACATTGGAGCGATTTTCGGCTCAGTCAAAGTGAATGAAGCCACAAAAGAAAATATTCTAGGTCTAGTTGAAATTATTGTTTAAAAGGTATAACTTTAATAGAAGAAATTCCATCGATCCAGATAGACAATCAAGCCTGAATTTAGTTCATAACCCTGAGCGTATGTACTGACTAAAAACCATTAGCCAAGTCTAGATTGCAAATAATCTGTCAGAAGCTGGGACTTTTTATAAGATTAGAATAGTTTAATAAAAGGGGACGTGTCGAAGTGACCATCTAAATATTGTTGTTTCAACTCATTGTAGACAAACCATAATACAAGAAAGGTCACTAAATAAGTTTTGTTCCAGTAAAGCTTTTCAGTATTAAACTTCCTCCTAATTTCTCTTTAAGTTTTTCTATTCCTTATATATGTTGTGAAATTTAGCTGTATTAAAATTTAGCACTTCCTTAAAATTGTTTCTTTTCATCTTCATCTCATATTCTTAATTTTATATTGCAAATATGTCTAGTCAACAGGATTTATATACTGTCTTGTGTCGACAGCTTGACTGCTGTAGGGTTCGTGTTGTACATGCCTGATGTCCATGGTCTAGTGGCTCACAGTCCCCGCATCCCCTATCAGACTGAGCTGCTACAACTCAATGAGCAATGTCTGTCACTGCTGGTGCTACTCACCTTCCTGGTGGCTCTGCTGGTCAAGGTAATACACTACTAGCTGTTACAAATACATGAATGGAGAATCCTAGTACGTGCATGATGAGAGTTTGTTTTGTAAATACAATTGGAATTAAGCTCACAGGCCATAAGACAACAATTTTTTACTTTACCTTACAGTCTATCCCTGCTCCTCTGATTTAAACAGCATTGGAGCCGTTGTCTGCCGCTCAGCCACACTCCACACTGCATTCAAGATAAAATGCAAATGGCAAAATTTTCTGCTACTGTTTATAATTGAGGTTATGTTATTATTTATGATGAGGGATTTGAAATGAATAACGTTCAGTCAGTCAGTATCAGTAATTCGTTACTCGGTTAATCCCGTAAAAAAAATTACCTAAAAATATTAACAGTTAAACTGAAAAAAGTATCAGCGAAATAAAATTATCAAATAAATTAATTGCGATATCATTATTAATTTTACAATAAATAAATTTCTAGAAAAACAATTGAGTCTTAGGCTTTGCTAAATGAAATGGTCTTTACAAATGATTTATTTTTATAGGCTAGTATATTTATGAGGGTTCTTTTTACATATTGTATTCTTATTTATAATAATATAAGGATGTATTTAATTAAAATGTATTATAATTATGTGTGTCAGATAAAACAGTTAAACTGACACAGTAATTCAATTAGATCATTTAGCCCAAGTCAGATAACGTAGTCTGTTGCAATTTAAATTAAAATATATAGGCCTACAGAAGGTCCTTTAAAAGAGCAAGCTTCAGCTTGAAATTTAACCCTAGCAGTGGCCGATCGACGTCTGGTGACGATCTGACGTTGATGCTTAGAATGGCCAAAGTCGTCTTGTGACGATCTGGGCCGAAAATTTTTGTAGCGGTAAAAAAAACATTTACAATCAACTCAGATGAAAATAATATATATACCATTCGAAAGATCACATTCTGAACTTTCATTTTATTACATAAACAAACCCTGTAGCAGGTATATAACAATGACACGACGATTAGAAATCAAATGAATTTTTGACACGGCACGACTTTTGCAGCCGACACTTGGGAACTGGCAAAACACGTCTTGTTTGGCATTACCCTGCTTGGGTAATTTTCGTCTTGGGATGTTGCGAGTGGTACCACTGGATAGCCATTGATTTTATCTTCATTGTGATTTAGAACGAAATATTGATTGCACAACCGGTACGATTGCGAAATTTTTAAGAAATGGTAGATGGTCGTCAGGTGACGATGTGGAAAATACGAATTACATACAGTATAATTTATTATTACTAGTCATATAGTATGTCATTTTGAAGAGGAAGAAATTTAGATTCAGAGAGTGGCAGCCCTGCACTCAGGGTTATTTCTGTATGCTCGCATGTAGACGAAGGAAGTGAGTCATTCATTACTGCTACAGTCTGTCAGCTGTTTTATATTCGCCATTGTTTGTTTGTGTTGTTTAGTGTTCGTTCTCGTGTTATCCGCGATTTATTACTAAATACGTTATTAGTTCGTAGTGTTAGTGTTAGTGAAGTTTGTGTGTGTGTATAACAGTAATCTTCATGCATAAATATTACTGAATTGTGTGAAATAGTGTTCATAAAAGGTTGTATTTTGTTAGCATCATGTCCTAAAATGATGATTCTGACATTTAGAGATTGTTGTACGAGACGGACCTTAGTTTGCAATGCTATATATGCTATATAATGATATACCCAAGGTGTTATACATTTTTATAAAGGTAAATGAATACACTACATCATGTTTATAATGGTTTGGGGGTAAAAAATTTTGTAAAAAAGTTATAGCCTATACTAAATACTACTGTATTTTGTTAGCATCATGTCCAAAGATGACGGTTCTGAAATTCAGAGGTGCTATGCTATATAATGATTTACCCAAGTTGTTATACATTTTTATAAAGGTAAATGAATACACTACAAGATGTTTATATTGGTTTTGGTGTAAAAAATTTGGTAAAAAAATTATATAGGCTACTAAATACTGTACACTCCATTTTCTCGAAATGCGCAAAAATATCAAAACGTTCTCAAATTGATACATAATCATAGGTGAAAATAACTTTTTACCATCATACTTATGACTTTTTTTGATTCCTTACTTCATTAGCTTTACAAATATATAGGCTACATATCATCAGCCTACATAATGTTTCACAACACAAACGAACACTGTAGGCTATAGTTTACACTTATTTGCGGTTTTGCGGTAATTGTATTATTATGTCCCTATTACGTACCTACAAAAAAATATTTCTAACATGTTATACATTTTTATGTAGGTAATTGAATACACTACAAGATTATTATGTTGGTTTGAAGTAAAAAAATTTGGTACAAAAGTTGTATACTAAATACTGTGAATTTTTTTCTCGAGAAATCGCTAAAATATAAAAACATTATTTTATATACGTATATTTATAGGTAAAAAATTATTTTTACCATAAACTTAATGACTTTTTTTGATTCCTTACTTCATTAGCTTTACAAACATGTATATATCATTATTAGTATACACATATATTATAGAACTTTTTACAACATAAACTAACACTGTACGGTTTTCAATTTTTTCGGTTCTCCGTTTGTCATTATATTTCGCCCCAAAAACTTATAAAAAAAAATATTTTCCTAACATGTTATATATTTCTATGTAGGGAATTAGATTGTCTACAAAATGTATATAATGAAATTCCCATAAAAAATCCGTAGGAAAAAAATACCGAGGCCGCTTTTGAAATTTCAAAAAAAATTCAAATCTTTTTTATTTTTTTCACTTTACCGATAAAATACACTGTCTAAATCATTATCATATTACTATTTCTAGATTCTCCTGTTCTTTCCGAACAAAATGAATATGAGGTTGGCTAGGTTTACTTGTACGGTTGAATTTTTACGAATTTTCAAAAAAAGGTCTGCAAAATCGCCAAAATGGGTTGGCCATTCCCCACTTCTAACATTGGCCACTGCTAGGGTTAAGTGTGGCAATCAACATTTTTCCCGCTACACCATAGGATACTTGCAGTGTATCTCAAAGACAAAGCCTACAGCCTACTAACTTACTCGCTGAATTAGTAGGCCTACTGTACTTTGAATACCCCCTATTACTATTAGGCCTAGGATGAAGTACGCCTGTCCATAGCCTCAGTTTTAATTATATGTTATATGTAATTGTATGTGTAAATGAAGTGTTTGATGATTAATGACACCATCAATCCCCAATGAGTGTATATGAGGTAGAAGATGAAGAACCGGTAATAAGTAATTTTTGAACAACTGTGTGGTAGACACAAGAACAGAGTACATAAATAAGTAAATATTCATTCAACTAGTGATTAATTTAACTTAAAACTTAACCAATTAATTTAATCCATTGGGGAAGGAATAATGCGCTGCGTGCAGCACCCTCTGCCGGCAATTATATTTTACCAAATTTGTAGACTTTTACTCTAATTGTTATAGAAATAAAACCTTGGTAATAATTAATAATTCTTTCATCATTTTGTTCTCAGTAAAATTATCTACAAATAAAATGGTAATTGGATAATCAAAGTGTAAAATTAAAAAAAATCAAATAGTTGATTAGATCAAATAATGTTTATCTTACTAATATTATAAATCTGAAAGTTTATGTGTGTGTGTTGCTCAATCACGCATAAACTACTGGACGGATTGGGCTGAAATTTAGCATGATGATAGCTCACATTCCCGATTAACATTAAAGCATATTCTTATCTCAAAAATCCTTTCGGGCTCCGCCCCAGTGGCTCTGTAGTTCCCCATGTTAACCTTATGAATTTTCATATTTAAAAGGCATTAATGAATCTTAACAGCTGTTTAAATTAAACAAGTTGGTTCTGTTCTATGATGTTCAATAGCATAAAAGTTACAAGGATTACCAACAGGGTGCAGTACTATTATTTTTTTTTTAATTTATGACAACAGCTAATTTTCAACTAAAAGGTGAGTGAGCGTAGCGAACGAACTTGTTGTAAACTCACCTCACAATATTAATTTAGGCTAGGCCTATTCTATAAATGTTTAAAGTTAATAAGTCAACAAAGATATATGAATTACAAAAGGGGTTTTATTTAAACAAATGAACAAACATGCAATGAGAAAAGGCTTGACGTTACAATGAAAGGACTGACAATGAGATTGAAATTAAAATGAAATAAAAGATAAGTTTGAATAATAAAGGCTCAAATAATTTATATGTGATATATCTCAGGGTAGGGTGTCGTGCTGGATTGAATGCTAAGAATTAATAAATTTAATAATGTCCAAATAGGCCTAATTTAGGTGTTAAACTTACAAATCCCAACAATGAAAAATCTAATTTTGATGTTGTCCAAAAGGTAAGTCCAATTAGCACTGAATTTAAAAGAGTTAAAAAAAAGTTTATACTTAATTTTGAAGATAACAATGATGGAGTTGAGTCCTCTTGAGGTTTAGGCTAATGTGATATAACTTGACATAAACTGGTCTTCTTGATGATATTAATGAATTTGATTTAGATAAAATTTGGACTCCTTCTAACTAACAGTTTCAACTTCTGCAATGGCTTCCTTCTCTTTCAATTTCAATGTTCACATCATTCATTGTTGAACACATGGATCACTTTCACTGCTTCTTAAATTTTGATTCCTTAAGGACTAATTTTTAAATGATATTATAAGAAATTTTGATGTATTGCAATTCTCTTACATATTTAACCCTTTCTGTGCTAGGCCAATAATTCCTATATTGTAAGACTTTTTTGTTTACCTTTTAATTCCATTACCCGTTGTTGAATTTTAACTGTCATGTTGTCACTATTTTATTAATTAGGCTAATTTTGAATAATAACACAATAAGAAAATATATAAGAAAGATAAATCCCGGTATTTGTAGTAAACATCAAACAAAACTTAGTTTTTGTTGTAATTTTCCTGGTTTTCCTATAAATTTTTATGTTCTGATAGCATTATTTGAAACCGAAATCTCACAAAATCAAAAGACATATAGTTTACAATGTGAATGTAATATTGAATTTAACCCTGATTTAGTTGGACGAGGTTATTGTAATATAGCAATTTTAGGGAAACTAATGTTTTGCAGCAAAGTCTCAGGAACACATTTACTACTACTAAAACTAAAAGATTGCATCTAAATAGTCCGTGACTAGCTGGTGCTGCTACCTAGTAATGCATTGAACAACCATCTGCAGCGCCATCTGTACGCAATCGGTGGCGACAGCTTAAATACCGGGTTTTGACTCCCCAGTCTTCAAGCACAGATATAGCCAAGAAGGCTAGGGCGTGTGTCACTTGGCCAGTGGCATTCGTCTGCTCGGGTTCGAATCCCGTCCTGTGTGGCAAATAATTGGTGACCTGTGTGTTTGTAGCGATATACTACAACCACTGGGGCATAGTGAGGTGTTCATAATCCTTGGTTCAGACATACACCTCGAAATCATCGGATTGGGCGAATCTTTTAGCTAAGTGGTTGGTAGTGTATCCTATGAACATGCAGGTCACCAATGGCCGTTTTGCTATTTTTTTTTAAATAACCTTCCTCTCTATATCCCTTAGGGTTTTTTTAAAACAACGATATATCGTTTCATAGCACTGAAAGGGTTAATAAATAATTAAGTTGTGGGCTTTGTATAAAAATATATATATATAGGCTATGAAATGAATATTATTAATGATTAATTGAACATATTAATGAAATTATATAAATTAGGAAAATGAATATTAGGCCAGCCTTTCTGAGGAGTGATTATTAACAAAGGTGTATGAACAAAAGTTAAGACTTTAAGAAACTTAATACTAAATAATGAATGAAATGACATGAAATATTACAAACTTCAACCTGGAGGCGAGTTAGCGTAGCGAACGAGCTAACCTGAAGGCAAGTGAGCGCAGCGAACGAGCTCCAACCTAAAGGTGAGTGAGCGTAGCGAACGGACTTCAACCAGGACGTGAATGAGCCATGCGAATACTTATGAAGTTAAAGGGGGTAAAGCTCGCGGGTACAGCTAGTAGATTATAAAAATAAAAATGTTTAAAACAATTTTTAAAAGTAAACTTGACTTACAAATTCAAAGATTAATCCAGACACCAAATGACACTACTATTATAAAGTTCAATTGCTTTTGGGTGATATCTGGTTTCCATAGCAACACAACCTTGTTTGTTGTTCGCAAAAATAAATTAGTTAATACGGTAAACAAGATGCAAGATAAACACCAATAACTAAGAAAAACCAAAAAGAGGGAAAAAATAATAAAATAACTAGTGGTGTCTATTGATGTTTTTATCTTTTAGCGGTAACACAAGCGACACTAGTAATTCAGCCGTCGGGCCCGCAGCGGCCGTACGAGTAACGCTTGGCGTCAATGGGTTAAGGAAAATGTTATAACAACCAGTGTGTTACCAAAAACACTGTTTTAATGGTGATTGCATTTTGAAACTTGAATAGTAGTTTACGGAACGTTCCCGTAAAGATAGTGTCGTTAAGACTATTATGTGAGTTACGTTCACTACTTGATCTACAACTTTTTTTTTATTAGCCTACTAACAATAACTACTTGTAACTTCTAAGAGAGGTTATTTTTTCGTTTATAACCTCTCAGTGCAACTGGACTGGGCACTGACAGACATTAATTAGTCAATCAATAGTCAGCAGACAAGATAGCAGAGGAGCGCGGCAAGCGACAGACAATGGTACTAACTAACTTGTGTGCCACTCAGAGAGAAAAAAATGAGGAGCAGGGACCAACTTTTGTAATTGTATTGTTTTTAGTTGTTTGTGGCTTAGAATCATGCTCAAGCTATGCTGAATAATGTGCTCAAATTAAAATTGAATTATTAAACACATATGGCTGAGCCATTGACTACTTACTTTATCAATTCTTTCCCCTCTCACACCTTATTATAAAGTAACAAATTACATTAACTTTATTTTATTTTTTTATTTCGCATTGTAGCAAGTAACATTCTATTTATGTGTGGCAGGCTTACTTTATCGGAGTGGTATGGAGCTGCTACAAGTACCTGATGTTGCGTGTGTTCCCTGGCCAACGGACCATCCACTACATTGACACTGAGAGCTTGTTGCCCAGCTACGAGGCAGCTGTCAAGAAGTACGTGGTCCCTCCCCCATCCTATGACACAGCTGTTCGTACCACCCCTACCACGACTGTGACAGCAGAGCAGACCAACACCACCACCGCCGTCACCGCCGCCGCTCCCCCACCACAGCCCATGTAATGTGCAACCCACTTGAAGGAAATTCCTAGTTTTATTTTTTAAGCAATACATATTTTAGCCGGTTTTTGTTTACTATATTCCAGAGTAAATCAGATTTGTGATTTAACAAGTAGTTTTAAGTGTAATGTGTAAGTGAATGGGGCACTTAAAGTATTACTGTACCCGTCTTTTGTAAAAAATATCAATTTGGACAAAATTCAAATGTTGCAAGTATTGCAAGATCTGCGTATTCAAAGTTTGTCTAACTGGCACTAGTCCTACCAATCACATCTCTCCTGTTGGTCGGCAGATGTGTTTTTTACTGGGTATATCATTTTTAAATTTTATCTTGTTTTATATGGAAGGGATACAAAAAAAGTGTTTCTATTTAGCATACATCTCACATACTTAACTAAACTATGAAAAGTAATAATTCAAAGTAGGTAACACAGGAGTTTAACCATACATAAGTTTGTCATATTACTCTGAATTCCATGGAATCAGCCTACAACTTAACTCGTGTCATTAAGTGTATGCATTTTACTATTTACAGTCAAATTTGTACTTGAGATTTAATGATATTTTTCCAAATATTTAAGTTGATTTCTTATATATTTTTCCAATTTAAAATAAATATTTAACCATAATTTTTACCATACCTACATGGGGTTTTCAAGTTTTTGTGTTTGATGACTGGATACAGATTGGTAAGCTTACTTAAGTTCTAACAACAGATCATTGGTTTATTATGCGATAATTTTATGAAAGCGAGATTAAGACTTGTACAGCATTATATTTATATTTATTCCTATTTTTGTTTCATGAATCTTCATTTATAGTTATTTTTGTTAAAACTTAATTTTTATTTTCTCCTTGAATTGTATATTCATAGTAAAACATTAAGAATGTGAAAAATCAGTGTGCTATAGTGTCATTTATTAATTTGTGATATTTTTGTACATACAAATTGAGTAGTTTGTAGGTAACAGGTGTAGTATTGGGTACCCACAAATGTAGACTGTACATCAAATTTGTACACAACTTACTGGGTAAAGTAAAGGTTTTAAGGTAATACAAAATCACTGTTTGAACTTGAAGGAGAACAAGTTATAGAAACGTACTTTACTTTACACTGCTTTTGGGAACCCTGTAGTTGATGCTATATGTATATATGTCACAACCTGAAAGTGTTAAATGGTCCAGTATCTTTCTCGAAGTTTAAAATGTTGATCTAAAAAGAACTAAAAGATAGATCCTTTTGGCTAATGCCACCTAGTTAGCTTATACATCTGTAATTTGTGTTTGAATAATGAATATTAAAATCTCTAAATTCTTATTGAAATGTTTTTATTTTGAATTGGACCATAGGCCTTGTCAACTCTTTCTTAGCAATACAGAAGAACTCCAATCATACAAATCAATTGCACATCGGAATAGTAAATACCCCCCGCTGCAGCAAACCTGCAGACTAAGCGAATTTCAACTTGTCTGATTACATTTTTACCAAAATATTTACATAAATAAGACATATTTATTCCCTATTTAAATAACATTAGATTTAACGAGCGCTTAGGTTTGCTGCTACGGGAAAGGTAAAAACTGTTTTTTGACCATACATCAATAATATAGGATTTAAATAAATTTGCCAAATTTTATCAATATATGTCCATAAACAAGTTAACTACATCAATTTTCATTTTCTCCATTATAATTACATGGGAATTTTAAATTACACTATTTTTGAATTTTCTCTGTGACCATTAGGCATACAACAGCGCTTCAATATATCAAATCAAATTAATCTTTATTCATAATGTGTACATGAGTAATCATACAACGGAATAGTGTCATTTCCTTATAGCTAACAGGGCTTATAGCGTATAATACATATTTACAACTGGTTATACTCTTCAATTGAATAAATAGGATTTGATGTAATATAATTTTTTAACTTAATTTTAAATTTATTAACATTATTTTCTTTTTTTATTTCTTTAGGTAACGTTCTAAAAAACTTTGCTCCTGCATATGATGGTTTTTTTGTGTAGAGTTGCAATCTGTGATGAGTGGGTATGATTTCCGATTTATTTCTGGTATTGTATGGGTGAGTTGGATGGTTTATTAATGGCTTGCTTGAATTCAAAGTTTTGTAAACCATAATTGTATCAAAAATATATTGTCCATAAACTGTAATAATTTGAAGATTTTTGAAATGCTCTTTACAGGAGGATACTTCTTGATGAAGATTTTTAATGATCCAAATTGCTTTTTTTTGTAACTTTTGAATTTTATCAAGATTTTCTTGTTTGGTCGAGCCATAAAGACAGATGCCAAATGATATATGATAATGTATATAGGAATGGTATATTAGTTTGAGTGTTGATTGACTACATAAATCTGCCATTTTTCTCAAGGCAAATAAACCTGAATTAATTTTTGATATGATTTTGTCCACATGTTAATTCCAATTTAGGTTGCCATCTATTAGTAGACCGAGAAATTTTGTGCTAAGAATTTGCTCAATAGGTTCGGAATCAATCATAACAACAGGTTCTGCTGTGGTTTTTGACTGAGCTGTTTTAAATGATATATAATTTGTTTTTTCAACATTAAGCTGTAAATTATTATTTTTGAAAAATTGAACAATATTTCCTAATTCTAGGAAAGACAAAATTTCAATTTGTTCTATTGTTTTATCTGAAATTTTTAGGTTAGTATCATCGGCGTATAAACATATACTGCTTTTCTCAGGGTTTGATAGTGAAGTTGATATATTTTTAGATAGCATATGAAAAGAAGGGGCCCTAAAATTGATCCTTGAGGAACTCCGAATTGTACTTTTTTAAATTGTGATTTATGATTTGAAATTATATTATCAGAACAACTAGTTAATTGGACAAACTAAAATCTATTTTCAAGGTATGAACAAAACCAATCTAATGTAGATTTGACCATCCCCAGAGATTTTAATTTACTAATAAGTAATGTATGATTTACATTATCAAATGCCTTTGACAGATCCATGAACATACCAATGTATGGGTCTCCCTCCAGCGTCAATTGAGTCAATTATTGATTCTATGAAAGCAATACTTGCAGTAATTACCGATTTTCCACAGCAGAAACCATGCTGAATGTCATCTATTAAGTGGTTCTTAACTAGAAATTCTGTTAATTGAATGTAGACTGCTTTTTTGCTTTTTCATAAATTTTAGAAAATGTCGGTAACAAGGATAATGGGCGATAATTTGACGGATTTTTAATATCATTTTTTTATGTAATGGAATAATTTTTTGCAATTTTTACCTAATTGATCCGGGAAGACTCCTGAGACAAATGATGAGTTTATGAGATGACTTAAAATACAGCTGATTTCATTTTTAATGGATTTTACAAAAAATATAGGGATTTCATCATACCCACTTGAACTCTTATTTTTAAGGGAACTGATAATTTCTTCTATTTCTAGTACTCCCACCTCTCTTAATCTAAACATTGGTTTCATTTCCTATTTGGCAGAATCTAATATTACATCATTACTATCTGTACAATTGTTTATTTGAGATAAATCAATGTTATTTTTTACCACATTTACAAAGAAATCATTAAATATATTTGATACTTCTGTTGGGTTACAGTAATGTTTTCCATTATGAACTAAATTAATATTTTGATTGTTTTTATGGATTTTGTTTCCCACTTCCAGTGGCGGTTCTAGGACCATGTCAAGGGGGGGGCTTGGGGGGAGTACCCCCCAATAAAGCAGGGGGGTCCGGGGTCCTCCCCCGGGAAAATTTGAAATTTTCAAAGCCGTTTGGTGACTTTCTAAGGCCATTTTTAACACCTAAAACCGTGCCCAATGGTCCATAAACTCCCATTTCACCTGTTGTTTGTCATGAGCAAATAGATATTTTAAAAATTAAACTATGATGATTGCATTCATGAATTTCAAAACACACTGTAGACTACGGCCATGTCCTCCTAAAAGCCGTTAGGTGACCTTCTACAGCCAGTTTTAACGTGTCTAGAACTGTGTACAAAACCTCACAATTCCCCATTTATTTGTCATGAATAAGTAGACATTTTTAAAACTAACTATGACGATTGCATTCATAAATCTCAAACATATTGTAGGCTATGGCAATATCCTCCTAAAAAAGCAGTTTACTGACTTTCTAAAGCCATTATTAATGTCTATAACTGTGTCCAACTGTCCAAAAACCTCTCATTTCGCCTGTTATTTGTCTTTGTCATGAGCAAGTAGACATTTTAAACTCAAACTATGACGAACTTGCATTAATGAATTTCAAAACATAAGCCTACTGTAGACTACGAATCCATCTCCTAAAAGCTGTTTGGTGACTTTATAAAGCCATTTCTAACGGCTAGAACTGTTCCCAATTGTCCTAAAACCTCCCATTTCACCTGTTATATGTCATGCAAGCAAGTAGACACGTTTTTTAACTTTACGTTTTTCTCCATTTCATAGATCTGTCACAATATGTATAGTATCGAATTCAGTAATAGCATTGACTATATAAACTTTAACACTAGTGTTTATATAGTCAATGGTAATAGGCTACTGGAGCTACCGCTGATTGCTGATTGATGCCTGTGTAAAGTTAGTGGCTAGCAGACAATTTGACAACTAACTATGGAACATCAGGAAATCAGCTGTTTCCCCGTCCTCGCTCGTACGCTCGCCGCTTGCCTTTGCCCTAGCATGTCAACAGCTGACCTGCAGCTGACTGCTGTAAAATTTGATAATGCGTACAACTTTCCATAGCGTAATATTGTTTTATTCGTTGTGCTAGTGTCCACAAAGTTTATCTATGTGGGACTTAATACTACTCCTGCCATCGCTTTTAAGTTTAATGAAAACTACATTGATGTCTGTTTTATGAGATTACGTATTTTAAGGTCGAAATGTACGTTTAAATTTATTTTTCCAGGGTCCAAGGGGGGGGCTTTAGCCCCTGTAGCCCCCCCCTTGGAACCGCCACTGCCCACTTCCGAATCTATATAATTAATACGCCACATGAAACTTTGTCGGTTGAACTCCTCCGCCATTTCTTAACCGATTTTATCCATTGACGTCTTATTGGAAAGAGCGTGTCGCGTAGATTTGCAAACTGGCTTTAGATTTTTGAAAAAAGTCCCTTGGGCTCTGCCCCAGTGGCTTTGAAAGTTCCCATGTCATCTTTATGAAGAACATAATTGTTTACGTTTTGATCAGCTCTATAATTTAATTGCTGTTATTTATTTTTCAATTCAATGAATCGCATTGGGTACATTTACTGATTTTGTTGAAATTAAATATTTACTATTTCAATTTACATTCGTCCATATTACGATGTAAAAAATCGAGAAAGCTTGGACAGTTTTATATATTTTACCGAATAAGACAAATGAATTGACATAGTACTGTATTTCTTGAGCAATCATTGAAAGGAACGATTTGATAACCACGGAAACATAGGAAAGTCATAGAACGTTACAAAGTAGGAGAAATAGAGATTAAAAAAAGAAAACACTATCGTTATCAACCTACATAATGAAGAACACTTACAATATGAAGATTCCCACAAACAATGAACAAGGATGTTAGCCAAAGTGCTACTATTTTGTAGGAAACATGGACTGGTAGAGGAAACCCCTCTAAAGTTTAATTAAACTGGCACGGCAAGGATATTAGGCTATGTGTTTTCATAAAAGTCAAGTGATTTTAAAAGAAAATGACTACATCCAAGAAACCTTAGTCAAACTTTCATTGAAGGATTCACATTATTCACATTATTAATCGCATTTAAGAGAAACATAAAAACCATCTGAACAACATTGGGCCTTTCAATTCAGCATTTTTTCAGGTAAATATAATTTACGTATATAAGTAACTAGCAAAATTAATGGCAATTGAAGCAAATAAAATTGTGACAGAGAGGTTATGCAGAAAATTAGGTAGTTCTTAAGTAATGTAAACAAAATTATTTTTATAAAAAATGACTGAAATTTGTAAACGTCCTGGTGACAATGGGTGGTACCATGCAGACTACTTTATCATTGACAAAGATCAACATGGACAACGTAATGCAAGACTAGGCTGTAAGTGGGAAACATTAATTATTTGTAGAATACACTAAACAAGCACATCAGCTTTTGAAAAATGATAAAATATTTACAAGAAATGTTGATTATATGGAACTGTTACGCACGTAATCTATGAGTTAACTTGCAATTGCTCGATTTCGAGCAACATGTACACTAGTTTATAATATTCCAAACTGTTTTATTTACATTATTTGATTTTTTTATTTTACTGTCAAAATAATCTCTTTTTGCCTTTTTAACATTTTTTTTTTTGTAATTCAAAGATCTTAGCTTTAACATTTCTGGCAAATTGTTATCTTTTTTACTTCTGCTTTCCCGTGTTAGTTTAACTAGTGTGCTCTTTTCTTCTTTAAGTTGTAGGGAAATCCAATTGTTTTTTTGTGTTGTTTTCTTTTTAGCGAATTTAACTATAGGGTAGTAGCTATTACCGTAGGTAGCATGGTAAGACCTAAGCCCGGGAGCGATTTACTTTTTCATTTTGATGTCCCCAGAGGCCAAAAACACCATTCGTTCAAATTTTTATATATGTTTATATATATATATAGATATATATATATATATATATATATATATATATATATATATATATATATGTGTGTCTGTGAACGCGATAACTTGAGTAATTTTTGTCCGATTTTGATGAAATTTGGTTTAAAGGTGTAAAGCGGGATAAACTTGAATGAGTTCGCGAACCAGCATGATCGGACCATGGGAACAGGGCTTTACGGGGGGTTTTATGGGGTAAAAATTGGTTTTTCTCACTTTTGACCCTCAAAACACAAAGTTTCCCAATTTCGCTTTATACCTTTTTAAAGAGCTTAAAAAAATAATTTAGTATATAAAAGTATTTTTGTACGGTTATTGGTAACGTAGAAAATTTAAAAAATTGTAAATTTAAAATTTCCATGTTATTCTTATGGAGAATATTGTAAAATGTTGTCGTTTGGTTGTTTATGGATATATTTTGATCAAACTTGGCAAACTTATTTATTTTGTACTAAGCTATTAATATTTTACTAAAAAACACACTTTATTAGTTTCCTTGTAGCAGCAAACCTAGGTACTCGACCTATAATGTTATTTAAATATATTTAATTGAAAATCAATTCAGACAAATGGAAATTCGCTTAGTTGTCAGGTTTGCTGGGACGGGGGTATTTATTCTTTTCATAGGAAAAACTGTATTAAAGTGGTACATGAAACTGTCTAGAAAATTATTGTATTTATCTTTAGTTGGTGAAATAATTACTTCAGCCCATGACTCATCTAATAGAATTTTTTTAAACAGATTTTCTTCACTAAAAACTCTTTGGTCCCGGAAAATAAAATTTTGCCTTACAGATTTTGATTTTGGCAAAGCTATTTCTAAGCATTGACCATCATGGTCAGACAATAAGGTTATTATACCATTTATTTTCATGAGGCTGCTTTGAGACTTTGTGACAAGAAAGTTGTCAATTGCTGTTTTTGATATTTTAGAGATCCTAGTGGGAAATTTTACCAAGTACTCCATATTTACCCTTTTTAGCATATTTTTTAACATAGTGTGTTCTTTAGATTTAACAAGCACATCTATATTAATATCCCCTGCAACAATGATACACTTATACTTATTGTTCAGAAATTCTAAAAGTACAGTTAATCTGTCTAAAAATATTTCAGCTTTTGACTTAGGGGATCTGTAAACTGCTACAACTAGGTACTATTTTAAAATCTATATAATTAAAACGCTACATGAAACTTTGTCGGTTGAACTCCTCCGCCATTTCTTAACCGATTTTATCCATTGACGTCTCGTTGGAAAGAGCGTGTCACATAGATTTGCAAACTGGCCTTACATTTTTGAAAAAAGTCCCTTGGGATCTGCCCCAGTGGCTTTGAAAGTTCCCATGTTATCCTTATGAAGAACTTAATTGTTTACATTTTGATCAGCTGTATAATTTAAATGTTATTTATTTTTCAATTCAAAATTAATACGCTACATTAAACTTTGTCGGTTGAACTCCTCCGCCATTTCTTAACCGATTTTATCCATTTACGTCTCATTGGAAAGAGCGTGTCGCATAGATTTGCAAACTGGCCTTACATTTTTGAAAAAAGTCCCTTGGGCTCTGCCCCAGTGGCTTTGAAAGTTCCCATGTTATCCTTATGAAGAACTTAATTGTTTACATTTTGATCAGCTGTATAATTTAAATGTTATTTATTTTTCAATTCAATGAAACCATATGAAACGCATTGAGTACATTTATTTACTATTTCAGTTTGTGTAAACATAACCCCTTAAGACGGATCGTGTTAGTATGGTTGTATCTTAGATTTGTGTATTTATCATTGTTTTGTGTCGCTATGACGGGTCGTGTTAGCATGATTGTAACTTAAATTTGTGCATTTATCGTTGTTTTGTGTTGCTATAATTTGTTTATTTGTTGTTTTTTCTTTTAAATGCCTCCGACGTGACGACAACGAAACATAGACAGGAGGCGTAATCATGATAACGACCGCAGCTACAGAACGCTGGCGCGGTCAGCACCTGACCCTGGGCAATCTCAACTATTAGGTTACAAATGCGCCCTTAGCACTAACCCAAAACGACTTTTCGTTCTCAATTGGCTCTCTATCAATGACCTGTGTTGCACGTACCGCGAGGGATTTTGAGAAGGAGAAAACCGGCCGGAATGCTTTAGGTTTATCAATAACGAAGATAAACATGGTCTGAGTTACACATCAGTAATCTTTGAGTTGACTCCTAAATTCATTGTAAATAGGACTGTTATTCGTTTTGAAATAACTGCAATTGCTCGAATTCGAGCAACATGTACACTAGTTGTTAATTAAATATTTACATATACAAAATTCAAACTGTTTTTCTTCTATTAATTTATTTTTCAAAGAGTCAGGAAATGTAACTATTTTTTGTTTCATTTCATTGGTAGATAGTAACATTACTCCACCTTTGCGTGACAGCTTCCGAGTAAAATATGACCCTACAGAATAGTATTCTATATTTAAGCGCTCAATTTCTTCCTCTTTCATATCATGTTCTGTTAAGATAACAATATGTGCTTTTATTTCATTCAAAGTTATTTGCAAAGCCTCAATTTTGGATTTTAAATGCTCAATATTCTGATGGAATAATTTAACTATAGACTTATTTTGATAGTTACATTTTTGAGGTGGACTTTGAGAGAGGTGGTTTCCAGGTGGTTGATTGGTGGTCCAGTAATGTAGGGTATGTGATAAGGTGGTAGGGTAATCGTAGATGGAATAGTTAAAGGATGTCCGGAGGGGGTGGGTGGTGAGGACTCTGAGACAAAAAATGCATATTACTATGACTTATGGTATCGGAGGACACTGACACACTATAATGATTTGTACTATAGACGTTACTGATTTCACTAGTGCTCTGCTTTTCACCACTAACACGATCACACATTTTCACTACTTCACTGTAGTCAAGGACTCCAGGAACCGTGGGGGGGGGGGGGGGGCTGGTTGTGGTAGGTGAGACAGGCTGATGTTCGCTCACTGCATCCTCTTCATGAGTTTTGATGGTTTCTTGACTACAGTTGATGGTTATGTGAGACGACTCATCGAACACCTTCTGTTGATATTATTGTTCAGAGATGGCGTCTCTCAGTTTGTGTATTAAGTCCTTGTATGAGTAACCATTGAACAGTGTTCTTGTAGAGGATTGGTAGTAGGCTGCTACTATGACAGTAGTATGACAGTATATATATATATATATATATATGAATTTGAACGGTTGGTGTTTTTGGCCTCTAGGGACCTCAAAATAAAAAATTAAACCGGTCCCGGGTCTAGGTCTTACCATGCGTACTACGGTAATAGCTTATTCCCTATATGGGAAATTCGCTAAACATTCAGATAAGCAATTGGATTTTTTCAGAAATTTAGAGTGTGTCTGCCAAGATTTAGAGATATAAAATTCATGCTTTCACTTCATGATAACGTTTGCGTTACCACGCTAGACAAAGATGATGTTTCCGTGACCACAGGAGGCGATGATGATGTCTACATGACCGCAGTGTATGTTAAGGCTTTTGTCGCAACCACAGCTTCTTTAACCTCTCAGCCATAAGGATTTTTTCAATTCAATGTCATTGAGGCATTGAGTACATTTATTTACCATTTGAGTTTGTGGAAACATAACCCCCCAAGACAGATTGTGTTAGTACGGTTGTATCTTTAATACTTTACAATGAAATGGCGACCATACACAGTAACACAGTAGGTATTTTAAGCCAAGTATGAATGGAGATGAGTGTAGGATGAGTGGCGCGATTTGTAGTCTTGTATTTAATGATTCTAACAAATTTCCTATTGGTGAACAATATTCTCTTGGTTTTAGCTATACATAATATCAGCAATATTCATGACAAATTTGTTATTTTTAGGATTAAATAGATTTACTAGCAATGATATAATATATTTTACTTGGATGATTATAAAAAGGATAAAATATTTACTTGAAATTGTACCCACACTAAAACATTCTTCAATCTTGGTAAAAAATCAAGAGTTTAAAATATTTAAGACTACATACAGTAACCAACTCACTCAACTGAGATAAAGGAACAAGAAATTAATAGGCTCGGCCTTAAAATGTTTTCATATATTTTCCGTAACCAAAGCTGTTGCTCACCAAGTGTTACATTTATGTGTATTTTTCTACTTATCGAGTGAAGCTCTCAACATCTACAATATCCATTCAAAACCTAATTAATGACAGTTCCATTCATATTTTTGTCTTGTCTGCCCGATATTACAAATTACATACGGATATGAGTCAGTAAAATTAACGTTCAATCTCTCATTTGTTTTACAATTCAGTATGACTGAGAACTGATTGAACTTGACCTCGGGTAGGTTCATGGAAGGGAAGTGAGTCCCAAAATTGTCGATTACCGAGATCTTGAGTTTTCTTAGGTGAAACGTCCTTAGGAGAGGCTATATGAAGATAGTCAAGATAACCGTCAGTGCTAGCCTTCGGTGACACTGGGACCCAAACTGCATTCTTAAACTGGGGCTTGCTGAAATAAAAATAAATTTCATTTTATTAAATTTTAATAATTGTTAAAAATATCTTTCCTGTTCAATTTAACATTTGATTTTAATATTACAGTATCAACATTTTTATATCAATGAGCTCAGGCGGATTGTTTTGTAAAGTTAAAGTTTGATACAGTTTCACACTCCAGTGTGAAATTATGATAAGTACTATGACTATCAACTATAAATAATTAGTTATGTTAATCATTATACTTTAAAATATTATATAACGGTACATTTTCAAAATATAAGGGACAAAATGATGTACCATTACGTTTTGGCTCTAAATGAAGTACTGTATTTGCTGTGCTGTAGACCACTTTTGTATAATTTACTTTAATTTACAAATCTATGGTACCCTAACAGACAATTATTTAAATTGAGTACAAAAATTGAAAATTATTAAAACTTAGAATTGAGGACTCCATCAACAGAATCTATATCTATTACTTGAATACTGCATCGTTGAACAACAAAGTCGGAATAGATTGCGTCACATATAACTTTTAATATATTAACTTATAGTCTTATATACAGGGTGTTTGGTAGTCAGTGTCAAATATTTTAAGGCATTATTATGCACGCAAATTGCTATTAAAATACGCAATTTCGATAGCTATATCCCACTCCTTCCTTCAACAGCCATTTTTAGAAATTTCAAAATTTCATGACATTGCCTAATAAAATCTCACATTTCTCAACTTTTAACCTATATAATGATATTTCCAATGGCATTTTTAGAATCGTCATTAAATTTTCTATCAACACACGTATAATATAGTACAGCTAAACCCATTTAAAAGTTTTTAAATTTGACTTAAATAACAAATTTGGAAAAATCAATAAAAAGGGCGCTACAACTCGCTTAAGGAATTTTTTTATCAAGTCGTGTTAAAAACTGGCAAATAGTATAAAAAACATCTCCACATTTTAAGCTTTAAAATTATATGCACTATTTGACATGTAATGTTAGCGTAAGGGGAGAAATATTGTATTAAACATAAAATTAATAATTTTTTCATTAACTGCACACATTAATTACGAGAACGCATTTAGTGAAAGTTGTGTGCAAAAGGTATCTGTATAATTAATTATACCCCAAGTAAACTTGTAAAATTTAATACTGTAGTATAGTACAGCCCAAATTAGTTGTAGTGCTTTGAATGCCTCGTAAAAGTAGTGAAATTTATAAATACACACGTTAGTTGTGATTACGAAGATACTGATCATATGTAATTAAGATTATTTCTACCGAACAAATTTTCAAATACAAGGTAGGCCTAATATATTAGTTATTGGAAACATACAAAAATCATGGATAAGCTGCACCTTAAGAATCTTAAATACAGTACAGTTTAGGTATGACTGAAGCACGTTCTTGATCCATATACTGCACAGGTAAATTATTTTACAAACAATTTATTTAATGAGGCATTTATTTATTCGACAAACTTAATTGAAAAACCTATCTAGGTTTTTGCAACACACCCTACCTAAGTCTTGGATCACTTAGACTTTGGTCAAACTTAAATAAAAAGTATAAAATTTTAAAATAGCACTCCTCTGCATTACACTAATGAGGTAAGAGACTTAGTCATCTGGATTTTTGTGACGAGGCAGACCCTTTGCATGGACAGCCAGATTCCCTGATCTTATGCCTATCATTATCCATTGTTTGGGCATTCCTAATGGTGAAGTGTATACTACAGATGTACACAGTGAAGAAGACTTGAGAAAGCTGTATAATTGACAGTAGTTGTACAAAAGTTGAGAGGAACCCTTTCCTATAAGATTACAGTTGAAGCAATAAAGAAAAGCTAAAGAACACACAAAGTCAGGTAGTTTTAACCACATTATTTAAGACTCTTAAGGTGCGGCTTTTCCATGTTTCTGTTTGTATTCAATTATAAAAAAAAATATTACCTTGTATTTCAAAATTATTCTGTAAAATAACTTAAATTGCAAAAATAATGTTAATTATTTATTATTTTAATTACCTCTGACTTGTGCATTTATAAAATGCTCTATATTAACCTGGTATAAAATAATGCAAAGCCCTTTAACTATGTACTATGGTATTCAATATCTACTAAAATATTAGATTTTATAAGTTTACTTGGGGTAAACTTGATTATACAGATATCTTTTCCACACAACTTTCACTAAATGCGTTCTCGTAATTAATGAGTGCAGTTAATGAAAAAAGATTAATTTTATGTTTAATGCAATATCTCTCCTCTTAGGCTGACATAACATGTCACATATAAAGCTTAAAATGTGGAGATGTTTTTATACTATTTGACAGTTTTTAACACGACTTGGTAAAAACTTTTCTTAAGTGAGTTGTAGTGCCCTTTTTATTGATTTTTCAAAATTTGTTATTTAAGTCAAATTTAAAAACTTTTAAATGGGTTTAGCTGTACTATATTATACGTGTGTTGATAGAAAATTTAATGACGATTCTAAAAATGCCATTGAAAATATCATTATGTAGGTTAAAAGTTGAGAAATATGAGATTTTATTAGGCTATGTCAAGAATTTTGGAAAATTCTAAAAATGGCTGTTGCCGGAAGTAGGAGTGAAATATAACTATCAAAATTGCGTATTTTTATAGCAATTTGTGTGCATAATAATGCACCCTGTATATTAACTTATAGTCACATATATTAACTTTTTTTGTGGACAATTACTTCTCCAAAACATTGATTCACATATATGTTTTTGGTGTCATTGGAAAGAGCGTAATGTGAAGTTGTGCAGAAAACTTTCTTTTTAGGGAAATAAAAAGCTGTTGGGAAATTAAAAGTGAGAAGAAAAACATAAGTTAATTGTAAACAGTCAATCAGTTTGCTATAACCAAACATTTACTGACTTGGTTGAAATGAAATATTTACTTTTTTGAATTTGGGTTGGCGTAAATATTACAATGGAAAAAAGCGAGAGAGCCTGGATAATTTGATATACTAAAAAGAAAACTGAATTAACACTGTGCTGCATTTCTTAGTAATCATTGAAAGAGCCGATTTGCAAACTATGGAAACATAGGAAAGTCATAGAACGCCACCGAAGAAGAAATAGAAATAATTTTTTTTTTTTTTAATTTATAATCGTTATTATGGACAACCTATGAGTAAGGCTATTTGTAGAAAACACTAAAAAACAAGATCAGCTTTAGAAAAATGATAAGATATTTACAAGAAATATTGATTCTGTTATGTACATCTTGAGTATTTCCATAATATTTGAGTCAAATCTTTTAAAGTCATCAGAAATTATGACTTGTGTATTATTCCAGCTTCAAGAACAAATTATTATTATTATATTTGTAAATAGTGTTTGTGTTAAATAGCCTAATGTGACAAACTGTGCTCCTGACGATGCTACACATGTAGCGAAATGTACATCGAGCAAGATATATACTCATTTCAAGAATCTGGCAACCACAAGGTAAAAAATTATGACTGTTATTTGTTTTAAAATAACGCCTGTAATACTTAGCAATTGCTCAATGTATCAACAGTGCATTCCTATAAATATCCACAATTCGTGACCTCCTAGTAGCTGGATTACAGGACATCGCCACCGTCCCAGTAGTGTAGCAAAAAGTATTTTACCATCAGGACACTCAATCGTAACCACGCATGAAATACAGTTAAAAACAACTTTTGACTTTACAATAGCACACAAAGTGTAGACTCCAAGTCATTTTAGTAACCTAAGTAAATAATAGAAGAAAATATAAGTAGTAGCTACCTCTACCTGGACAAAAAAGGTGGTTTAATTGAAATTCAGTTTGTAAATTGAATGAAAACGCAAATAATAGTGTAAACAAAAAGTCACATTTAAAATGTTTATTTTGTGGCTCCCTCGTAATTTCATCCCATTTCACACGGATTTCTTTGGTAAAATCATGGTCTTGGATTTTCTACAGAAATTCACATAGTTAACCTAATCTCTTTTGTGACATATTCAAGAGTTTCCTCTAGTTATCTGTGACTGATCCACTTTTGTGTTCTTTCCTTTTATAAGATGACAGAAAATGAGTCCTCTGTATTTTATTTATTATCAAAGTCCTTGTGGGGTTCCGATTTGTGGAAAACTCCTCATTGGGCACAGTTGTGCTTGAGGCTTTTTGGTGGTTTGAAAAAACGTCTACAACTTTTAGTGCTTGGGCTATTGTTGACAAGATTGAAAAGAGATATAAAAATTACCAAACTGTATGCACTTAATTTTTTTGTAACTCAGTCTTCATTTTTATGCAAAATTTAAAATGTTATAAATTATTTGTTGTTAACAGAAGCAAAATGCACACATTTGTTCAAACAAGGCAACACTAAAAAAACAGGCCGTAATGCTCGTCAAGCATGACGTCACGATGGAAGACGGCAATGACATAATGTTTGCCGTTTGTGATCATCTGCTTGTTTTAATCTTTCCTTGGAAAATGAATAAATAAATACCTACGTCATTGCCGTCTTCTATCATGACGTCATGCTTGACGAGCATTACGGCCTGTTTTTTAGTGTGGCCTTGGTTCAAACCATCTATCAGCTGCAACTTAAAAAGTGGCGAGGGAACGCAGAAAAACTCATACTGCCTAAATTTTGTAAATGGACAACAATAAATATTCTTACCCAGTTTTGGCATAGTTAATCCACATATTGACCATTAAGTTGCTCATGTTCTTATCAGTATCAGTCTCTAAAGGATTCATGTAGTCCACTCCAAGCATGTATCCTGTGTCATCCCCATGACTAACTCCTGCAAAATATCTAGTTTAAGTCACCCACAACTCTGTTCCACATCTGATTTGAATAAACTTACATTAGTAATTAGGATTTGTTTTGTTAGCTTTATTGTAAGCTTATGTCATAAATACCATAGGTCTATAAAGTCTGCTTCGGTGAAGTTGGATGAAGCACAACAGTGTTTATCATAATGCTGTTGGCAACACATTACACCAAGCATGTATTATTGGAAATTGTGAATCAGACTATGCAATTATATGGTTTTGGACATTTGCTGCTACATCAGTAAATACAAATACCCAAGACGAGACTGTTAATAAGACTTTTTCAAATTCGTAATGTTAGCTACCAGCAGGTAGCAGTAATAAATTGTGGAATAGTCTCATTAGGCAAGTAAACAATGCTCCTTAGAATGGATACACATTTAAGTAAAGTTTGATCAATATAACAGATAATAGCAAACATTTGAAATCCAAAAGTTTATTTGTTAATAATTTTGGAGCTTTTACAATGTATTATGGAGCCATGCAATAAAACTACACAATAGAAAGTTAGACTAATAACCATGAAAAGACTGGATCTATCGTAAAGAAATAACTAACATTTCCACAGCCGGCTGTATGACAAGTGTAACAGAGCTCACAATGTCAGTTCATAACCAACTCTATTAGGAAGATGATATCGTGATTGCTGGTTGTACTAACCAAAGTTTTCAGTTGAGCCCCAAGACATCATCTCAGAGTATGAATGTTTGCCTCTGTAGGTGAAGTGGTAGAAATAGACAGGAGCCTTGCCCACTTCAGCCTGTAATCTAGCAGCTCTCTCTACATCCACCACAAACAAGCGGTCACTTGCTAGCTATGAAGTTAAACTTGAATAAGTGTTAATACACATAATAGTGCTGCATGAATATGAATGTTTGCTTCCTTAGCTGAAGTGGTAGTAGAAGTATACATAATCTTTACCCACGTCTGTCTAGTCTAGCAGCTTTCTCTACATATATCTCAAATAAGATTAAGGCCCCTGTCTATCACAGCCTGTAGTCGAAACAGTCCGCTCCAGAACAACTTACAAAACATGGGTCCTGATGTTACAAAACCAAATCCAGCTGTTTTACCCAAGCTCTATTGCTGCCTCATGTGATTTTTTTTTTTTTAGATTGGAAAACACATACCTGGTAGAGCTTCTTAAGGGAAAATGTTAACTAAGTGCCTTAATTTCTGAGTTGTAGCATAGACAATAGAGCAAATATAGACTATCAAAGAAAGGTTTTGTGATCTGCCGCTAGAGCGTTATCGGTATTCGATTCGCTGCCGTCGTCGACTACTCGGCAGTACTTGCCAGCTGTTACCAGCACTACCACTCTTGCAAACGAAATGCTTACTATATAGCAATCCAGAAAAAATCATGAAATTTCCCGACTTTGATATTAAAATACCGGTAAAGAATAAATTCCAACTTTTCAAGACCATTTTGAAATTCAATACTAATACAGTAGACCCCCTCTTAACCGACCTCGTATTAACCGATAATCGGATTATCCGCCTTCGATCGTAAAATAATACAGTCTGTTTTAACCGACCTTGCTTTGAGAGCAGCTCGGTTTAACCGCCGCTTTCTAGGAATCTCGGCATTTCCGCTCCCACGCTGGGCGATGAGAACTGAACCATACGCTTATCTCCACAGGATATGACTAACAATAAGTTATTTTGTGTTGATCACAAAAAATATAGCATAGCCTATTGTCAGTTTGTCATCATCGTTCGTAGCTCGGTTCGTAGCTCGAGCACATCTGATCAGATATGTTATCTGTGCGGCAAATTTATAACATCATAAAGTGCATTACGATTTTCAGAACTGATTATCTTATCGCTGGAGTAAACAAACAACGCAACTTGTAGGGAGGGCAGGGAAGGAGTGTTAACAACTCCCAGGACAAGATAGTTTTTGTGCCTCGAACCTCCAGTGAGTGGCCATAAATAAACGTCCTGTTTTGTAACAAAATGGTCGCTTGTATCTTTAATGACGACAAAAGGTTCTGTACTGTATTACGATGCATTTAGAAAGCATTAATTAATACACTACAGTAGTAAAGTTATTAAAATATGAATTTTATTGACTCTTGCCTAGTATTATAATATATTCACTGAAAGTAGGCCTATTTGACTTAACCGTGTTTTGTGTTTATTTGTGACATTTCTATCAATATGAAAAAGGAGATAAGAGTAGTTTATTTTATAAATAATGCAAGTATGACTTCATAATAATGATTATATAATTCTAAATGAATAGCACTTCATTATGTTATGATTTTAGGGATTGCCCGTTTTATCCGACCTTTTGAATTATCCGACCTAGGTCCGGTCCCATTAGGGTCGGTTAAGAGGGGGTCTACTGTACCTGACTTTCCCGTTTTCCCTGACTACCAGACACCCTGGTTAATTAGATTTTGACCTTGCAAATATAAAACAAAACCTTCCAATAAACCACTTCTTAAAATTATGGATTAATAAAGCAAAACTTTGAATCATTGTAATGAAACCACAAAAATAGAATAAATTTATGTTTAAAAAGTATACAATTAAAGATGGCATTTAAATTAATTGATTTCTTAATATTAAATAAGTCAGTAAACTCCTATTCCGGGGAATTCTTCCAAAGTTGGCAACACTACTCCCAACTACCAAGTTGTTATGGAAACGGTCGCTAGCGCTTGACGCTGCAGCGGTGTGCGCCATAACTATACATTACCCTAAGCGGTCGGCGCCAGAATTTATGCTAACCGCAGTACAGCTAACAGTCTATGTTTAATTCTTTTTGTCTATGGTTTTAGCCCCATGATCATGTGATAGGTCTGGATAGAAGACGCACTTGTTCACATTGGAGCAAGCCAGTTCAATAATATCCACTCTTTGTGGAAACTTCACACTTACTGCTTGTTGTTGGATCTGAGGTTAAGAAATTGTTTCTGATATTGATCAGCGAGAATGTGTTGGTTCTCCATCATCTAATACTAATAGATACCAGGGTGGTTTTTTAAAGTAAGGCCGGTTAGTGCCTATATCTTCCTAGTTCGTGTGCACACTGCAACCAGGCTCCTCTTACCTGCTTACCTGCATAATTTTTTTACAAGACGGCGCAATTTGCAGCTCTGTAGCTGAAATGTAGATCTTGCTGTATATTGTGCTGTGTATCAAGAACATTTTTAAAACTAATGAATCTACCAACGCATGCAGTATAAGATAAGATATGTTTCTTTTACTGCAAGAAACATATTCAATGCTGACATTCATCGCCGGATGCCGTAAGTTAACGGCCCTAATGCAGTGGCCGAGGGTTAAGTGCACAAATGGATTAGGAGTACAAAAAACACACTCCATACTCACCATCCTTACACTCCATAACCCATATCTGCTCTTTAAGCTCACTCATTGCATTAACCCTTCCTGGACGGGCGAAATCGTGATAAGAACAGGAAAAAATGATGGGAAAAAATAAAATTAATTTTCTTTATTTGTGTTTTGTTATACAAGTATACATAAAATAAACACAATAGAACACTTCATACTGTCAAAATAATTTTTTTACTCGTTTTTAAATATGCGGATATATCCGCTACCCGTCCGCGGATGAGTAGAAAAGCAGCGGATATATCCGCCACCCGTCTTTGAAGATATGACCATGACAACGTTAGGCAATAAATAAAGAACAATATGTAAACAATAAATAAAGACAGTGTAGTGTTGAGCGCGAAACGATGAGGGAGGAGCGTAGGAGAGGTGGGTGGTGCGAGGGGGTGAGGAGCAGGAGAGGGTAGGCGCATGAGAGAGGGGGGAGTGCGGAAGAGAGCGCAGCCATGGGGAGAGCAGGAAAGTGGCGCCTTGGTACCGCGAAACATCTGGTTACTGCTCAAGCACCTGCCAGTCTGTCTGAAGAAAAGGCGGATATATCCACTCCCCGTCCGGAACATCAAAAACCATAAGCGGATATATCCGTCACCCGTCCTTTATCACCAAAGACTTAGGCGGATATATCTGTCACCCGTCCGGGAAGGGTTAAGGCAATAATTTTCAGTCATCAGACAATAAATAGCAGCATTAGATATGTTTTTTGTGGTCAAAAACGTATTACTGGCCGACGAGACATTTGAAAATTCCAAAAATTGTCTAAACACACAGCGAAGCTCACACGCACACGTCACTCAGCTACGGTAGGTACAGATCCGCAAATGGTGCTATTCTGTTCATTAATGATGACAGTAAGCGGTGAGCTGTCTCGTTGTGGCATACATGCTAACTATGGAGGAGCTATACACAAAAACAGCCACAACTTCTTTAAAAACGCCTCTCTTATAGTTTGTAATGATATGGTTTCTGCAACTGAAGTATAGGGCAGACAAGATAATCCTGTGTTCTGCAATCATTGTCTCTTCAAATCAGATTTCAGTAGAATATATGACTCAGTACTAGGATTCAGGGAAGTGGAACAGTCATTAAAGTGTGATACTTGTTGCTCTCATTACCCTAATAAACATGCTAAAATCACAATATATTTTTACCTGTATAAAAGGAGCAGTAGTTGCTCTGGAAATGGGTTGTCCTTTCATGTAAAACTCTTTAATCCTCTGGCTTGTTTCATCTTTAAGTTCTGATGCAACAGTGTAGTTGTAGTCAAGAAGAGCTGGAGCAATCTTCAGCCAATCTCGCTCTATCTCATCCAAAAGTGTTGCATTTGCCACAAAATCTGCAAAGTAGCAGTTTTAAATTATTGTTGTTTTGCACAATTGTTGTTTTTTTACTATATTTATGAAAGGAAATAAAAATAAAAAACGTGAGTATCGTATTAATGTGACATAGATTTTAAAAATGGTATTATTACTTATCAGTTCATGTAGAGCGGTGCATTGAAATAAAATAGCTAATAAAATTAACAACAAAGAAATTCTTTGAAAAATTAAGTGGTGCTTTCATATTTTGGATTTTGGAACCATAATTTTATTACTCACTTGATACAGGGTAGAGCCCTTCCTCAGACGTAACACTGGCGAGCCATGGCAGAGCTTGAACTTTCCCCTCCCTCAATATGTCCCAGGGATGTTGTGTTAAGAAGGGTGATTCTCCTGCCTTCTCAACCACCGGCCCAAACGGGGTGTACGGATTGAAGTGCCATGGCTGCAAAGTGACAATTCTGTTACATATTTCAAATTCTTGATAGCTATAGCAACGATTTACGGCTAGGACAATAGGACATATATTATGCGTACATAAATTATTTTAGCGAATTTCCCTATAGGGAAGTAGTAATTACGGTAGGTGTAGATCTGGGATCTCGGATGAATTTTGGGCATTTTCAATCCCGGGATTCTCATGCTCAATCCCGGGATTTTTGGGATCAGCTAATTTACAAGTATAATGATATTTATTCAATAACTAACTATTATAACAGTATATTTACTTAGACATTACAGCTTAATTAAGTTATAAATCAAATAATCACTATTTACAGATTTATAATATGAAGTTTTTTTTTTTATATTTAGTATGCCCTGTTTTATAATCAGTTAGTACCACTGTAACTGTAACTGTTAAATAGAGAGTAGACGAATCTTGTGTTCTACGAGGTGGATGAGTTTATTTTTATTGTTATTAATTAATAGTTTACTAGTGGAACCCCGTCGAAATCGACGGTTAATCTTGAGGTTTTATGTAAATTCAGCTAACTGCGATGGATAGAGTGAAGTCATTAAAATCTTAGTTAAATGAAGGGAGGATAAGCATTAATAAGTATGACGATCGTGTTCCCTAAAAAACGTGATTGATGAATTCGTTTAACACAATATTTCCTACCTTTTTGTCGGCTTTAGGTTGCCCTAAGGGTTTTTTAGGAGTCTTATAATTGTTTGTTCATGAGTTTGTTTCATACCAAAGCCACTTTTACTATATGGGAGAATGAGTTCATATAATTAGTCTATCATGTTACGGAAAGAGTCAATTTTATTACTAACCACTAGTTTCATTTGCTTTAGGAAAATCATTCAGATTGTATCCTGATTTATAAGTAATCTTCATCTTTGGTCATAAAAATACAGAATTCTATCAGCATATTAAATCAGTTTTTTGTTTGATAAAAATATCGGATTCTCTAGAAAGCAGTAAGATTCTTGCTTCGATCTCAGCAATTTTAATTCCTTCTCTTGCCACATCGACCCATGTATTTAATCATCCTGTTCTTACTTGATAATTCATTAACTTGTGGGGTAGTTTTGCCTTGGCCATATAGATCACATAAAGCTGTGCATGTATTTCGTGGATTGGAATTAACCATAATTGTAGGAAATTTTATCACAAATCTTGAACATTTGCGGAACCAAATCCATAACCTAGTCCAGCCTTGGTAACAAATTATGCAAATGCGATGAGATGTGATGACACTGTTGTGTTTCCGAATGTTTTGTATGTAGTGAGGTTTAGATGCGTTGTTCGACCTAGCTACATGTGTACATCAAAGTAAAAACTGTGTACACATTTTTTTTAATACCTGAATTGACATTAGTTCACCTACTTTACCAAAACCATAGACTCCGTAGTTAGTCTATTCCAAAACTTGAACACAGCTCTCATCCTCAACGTACTCATCTATGACACAATTTTCAACCCGATTATCAAAAACTTTTATACCAATAAATGAATCTCAGGTGTTCTTTCGTGAATTTAAAAATAAATGATGATTGAAAGTAGGAAAAAAAGGCAAGTGCCAACCTTACAATATATATAAGCTAACCCGATAAGGAATAGTTATACTTGAAAAATGAATAGTTAGTCCTTTGAAATTGATATGTCACACTTATTTCATAATTGAAAATTTTCTAAGAGCAATAAAGCATAGATTTTTGAACAAAACATTTAAAACGTATCATAAATTCATCATTTAGTTGAAACCATAAAAAAACTTGCCATGCAGTGGAGAATCCATTTAAAATCATAATGTAAACATTTAATTTTGACAGTTTCAGTAGACCTTTGAATACAATTTTAATATTAACAGCTGGTTCATTAAAAGTAGTGTAAAATTATCCTTATGGTCGAAATGTAAACAACATTGCAGAGTGAACTTTAAAGGCCTCTGGGGCAGAGCCCCAAGGAAATTTACCTCGTTTATCTTTTGAGAGCTCACCTACTGACCAATACCTTTCTTTAGACACCCCTACCATGTTTCTACGCCCAGCCGTTCTCTCAAATTAGCTGTGACAAAACCCTCGTTTTCCTCCATAAGAATAACATGGGATGGGAATTTAAAGGCCACTGGGGCAGAGCCCCAAGAGAATTCTCCATGTTTCTCTTTTGATGGCTCATCTACAGACCCGGGACCTTTCTTTAGACACCTCTACCGAGTTTCTACGCCCAGCCGTTCTCTCAAAATAGCTGTCACAAAGAAAAACAGTTTCAAATTAATATATAGATTTATTTACTCTTTTTACATAAACTTATTAGTGGGGATGGGTTGCAGAAAAATCCAGTTCTGGCAGTGAACATGAAACTTGAGGTGGTTATCGTATACAAGTCCCTGAACGTAAAACCGCCCAGACCCCAATTTTTAAGGATCTCGGTCGTCCGTAATGACGTCATCAAGATAGCGGCTGTAAAAGGATGGTGAGTCGCCATGAATTGGTTATAACATCCAAATGCCTTGACCGATTTTAATGAAATTTGGCATACAAGTACTTGAATACATTATCTCAGCCCAGGTTGTCAATGGTGGGGTTTGATCATGTTGTTTCAAAATGGCGGCCGTTAATAACTAAAATAATAAAAATGTTTCAGTGTTTTATGTTCTCAACTCCCTCCACAGATCTGCAGCAACCTATTCATTTTCCTTGCAATCACAGGTTGTGATGGCCTCTCGGCATTACATGGATTATGCAAAATACCCCCACCACAGCAAACCTGCACACTAAGTGAGTTTCCATTTGCCTGATTTGGTTTTCAATTAAATCTTATTCTATAACATTAGGTTTCATAAGTACCTAGGTTTGCTGCTACAGGGAGAGTAATAAAGTGAATTTTTATTAATATACTAGCAATAGAGCCCGTTGTAGTTAAATACAACGGTCCCTAGAAAGTACAGTAGTACATAATATATGCCCTAGTAAGTACCTGAACATTTGTTTAAGAATGAAATTGTTTAGAAAATAAACTGATTTTCTAAAAGAGTAAAATAATGAAAAACAAATAAAATTTTACAAAAAAATTTTATTTACAGTATTTCTTTGTAATCAACATTCTTTGTAAAAACTTCATCCGATTGTTTTTATAATCTTCCTTGTTCTTTGCCAGGGATAATTTTAATTTTTATGTCTTCAAACCTTTTAACCCTTGATATTGCAACATACAATTGTCCATGGCTGAATACTGATGCTGGAAGGTATATCCCAACTTTATCCAATGTCTGGCCTTGCGCTTTGTTTATTGTAATAGCAAACGCTAATTTTAAAGGAAATTGCCGTCTTTTTAAAACAAATGGTAAATCTGTGTCCGTCTGTGCTAAGTCAATCCTTGGAATGAATACAATTTCACGTGCTGCTGATCCAGTTAAAACCTCTGCAATTATTAAATTGGGCTTGAGTTCTTTAACAATTAATCGTGTGCCATTACATAACCCCCGTGTTGTGTAATATTTCGTAGCAACATTATTACAGCTCCAATTTTTACATCTAATTTGTGTATTGGCATTCCCGATGGTGATAGCTGATTTAAAAATTCTATAGGTGAGATGACTTTCGAGTGGAAATATTAGAATATAAAAAGACAGAGTGTTGAAATAGAAGTAACTGTGTTATATTAAAGATCAGAATAGAAAAGTAAACAGCATTTGATGATTAACATTTTGGTTGCTATGGTAACAACTGATTCATAAGTTCATAACATTCTCCCCCACTTAATCACTGGAGAGCAAAGTCCTTAAGATAGGACAGAACCTTGCGCTGTCTGGAAGGACGAGTTAATTTGTTTTCTTTTTGTTCTGTGGCTTGAGGTCTGTCTAGATTTTCTTCCCTTAGGGTACCGTCTAGTTCTGTTGGATTGTTTGAACTTGATTCAGACTCTGGGTGGATCTCTAGTGGTGGTGCTTGACAGTCTATAATAGGTATCCGTCTTGGAACAACAGAACTATCTTGTTTGTTTTGTGTTGTAAAGGTAACTTTCTTCTTGGATACAAGAGTCAAAATCAATTGATTTATGTGTCGTTTTAAACTTCGTCCAGAATCCAATTCAACAATGTAATGGTATTGACCTAATTTTCTCTTGACTGTACCAAACTGCCATATGTCTTTATTTCCCAGGTGAACTCTTGCCTGAACTCTCTCCCCCACTTTAAGAGAGCGGACGCGAAGAGGAGCAATTGATTTTGATGGAAGTTTTGCCTTTGGGTTAGGGAGAAGTGTGTCAAGTCTAATCCGAATCTTCCTGTTCAAATACAACTCTGCTGGAGTCTTGCCTGATGCCAAAGGTGTTGCTCGATATCTGAACATAATGTTTTGTAGCTTTGTGGTAATTGGGGTTGGATCATCGGCAGCAGCAATAAGTCTTCTCTTTAAAGTTTGTATGTTTCCTTCTGCCAGGCCATTTGTTGCAGGATGATTAGGAGCAGTAAATTTTTGGAAAATCCCACGTTCTTTACAGTAGTTGATAAATTCCTCACTTTTGAATATAGTGGCATTGTCCGAGACTAAGAACGAGGGGTACCCATGGACTGAGAAAATGTTTTCAAGTAGTGCCATCGTCGTTGCTGAGGAAGGAGCATTTCGGAGAATGCGAACTTCTGCCCACTTTGATTTTGCATCTACACACATGAGGAAATAATTTCCATCCAATGGACCGGCATAATCAATATGCACTCTTTCCCAGTTATCATCGGGCTGATCCCACGGATGTACCGGAGCCTTTGGTGGATTGTGACGAACTTTAGTACAAGCTTCACAGCTTTTCACTAGTCTTTCTATTTGTTTGTCCATACCTTCCCAATATACATATCTTCTAGCAAGCTGTTTCATTTTAGTAATTCCGAGGTGTGATTCATGGAGCTCATTTAGAATTTGATTTAGAAGACATTTGGGAATTACGACTCGATCTGATCGGAAAAGTATGTTGTCTGAGATCATGTAAGGGCTATCTTT